TCAAAACTACTTCAATGAGGAAAAAAATAAAAATTTGGAATATCTATACATGAGGGGCTAATTGATCGGATCTGGGTATTGAAGGGGTTTTAACCTCGACGAAGAGGACAAGATGTTTGTTGATTGTTTATGGATTTCGTTGGGGTAATTGGAGTTTTTAATTGTGCTGGGGATGGCGGGGACTTTGGCGGTGAAGGGGGCTGAGGGTGAGGCACCTGAGGTCATGAGGAAGAAGCTGGAGTTGAAGTCGGAGGCTCTGGTTGTCCTCAGCCAGGAGCTGGAGCAGTGCAGGAGTCAGAGGGATCAGTTCAAGATGATGGCCGAGCAGATTCAGGAGAGGTTCTGGTGCTACAAGAGGCAGGTCAATGACTCCAAGGAACTCAGGTGTGGAAGCCACTTGTTGAGATTATTCTGAGATTATTCTGTTGCTCCAAAAATTTTTTTTGGAAGTGAAATGAGCTTTCAAATGATGAAATGTGGTCAAATGGACACTTTTGACTTTCTTTTTAATATTCGTGATTCATATTTATCAATTGAGCTCAGTCTGGGCTCATCACAAAGAGGAAGAACTGTACTTTTTATTGAAAAAAAAAATTATTCCATTTCATCAACAATTCAGTGAGTCATTAGCATTTGAAAAAATGTAAAAAGAGTCCATTTTACCCCATTCTCCTGTGTCGTGTGAAAAAAAATTCTCTCGCTGCTTTCGAATTTTCCCATTTCCACAAATTAATTCTCCCATTTTTCAATGAATTTTTCAGAAAATATAGTCTAGATGGAGACTACAAAATGATGGACCTCGTGACAGAGCTGCGAGAGCAGAACAAATGCCTGAAACTCCAGGTGGAAACCCTCAGACAAAAGCTGGGAGATGCCCAGGGTGACATCAAGGTTCTAAGGAGAAGTAATCACTCGAATATCGAGCAGAATAATTCCCAGCTGGCTCCAGCCGTTCACGAACGAGAAGAGATGATTGAGCAGTTGGAAAAGCTGAATGTCAAGGTGAATTACGAAAATAAGGAATTTCCAGTGAAAATCAAATAAAACTAGGGCTTTGATCTCCATTTTTAGTGCACTCAACTGCAGGCAGACTTGCAATCAGTTTTGGATGAGAAACTAGAGCTGGAGACTGAGAGAGATGCCTTCAAGTGCAAGTCCCATCGATTGAATCACGAGTTATCGAGAGCACTTAGTGCTACACAACCGATGGACTTGGATTCTCTCATAAACGAAAATAGATATCTGCAGAATCGTCTGCAGCAGGTTCTGGAGGAGAAGGAACTGGCAAGACAGTCATTATCAAAATACAAGGTATTTTTATTATTCTTAGACAAATTAATTATTTCTAACATTGAAATTTGGTCATTCTACATGGGAAACATTTTATTCAGTAAATTAATTCAATAATTTGAATAATTTGAGTGAATGATTTGAAGAATTCTCGCATTCAATTGAACGTTTCAGTATTTCACAATTAATTTTAACAGAATAAAATTGAGAAATAAAGATGAGTTTGATATTTTTTTATTTACAGGGAATGCTCGACAGCAAAAGAGTGAAGGGAACCATCAAATTGGGGGGCAATGGTGCTGCTGGTAAGATAATGACTCTGAAACAAGTTGAACAGTTGCTGCAGCAAGGAGCAAGCATCCCCTCCCATAAATCAACAGCAGCCATCTCCGACCTGCGTTGTCTGTGTTCTGCCCTGCTGGAAGCTCTGAATGACAAAACCCTGGCCCTCGCACATCAGAAGAAAGCCAACAAGTGAGTAGCCCTTGATTAAATTGAGATGTGAGTGTTGTTAAATTGAAATTGAAATTTTTTCAATTTCTAGAATTTTAGCAGTGAGAATTTGTGAACTGGACACTGCAGTTCCCTCTCCCACTGCGAAGTTACTCGAGGGATATGCTGGGGTTGACGTTGATGCTCTTGAGGATAATCTTGAAGACGCCGGTCCCCAAAATTACGAAGAGAAGGCTCTGGAAGAAAATATCGAGAAGAATGGGGAGGGACTGGAGATCAATGAATTATTGGACACTGAATCTCTCCCCTCGAAGTCACAGAGTGACACTCCGTCGAGGAAAATACAACTGGGGCTGCCTCAGAATTTAGAAGCACTTGTACAGAAGGCGTTACTCAACCTGAAGGAGAACGAGAGAGATAAATCGTGAGGATTTTTAATTTCTTTATTTTCTCCTCTCGTATTTCTTTTGATCTTCCCTCAGTTGCACCGGGTTTATTTTTGCCTGCGAATCATTCCTATTACCAAAGTTATTATCTAGTCTCTACGAACAAAAAACAAAACTCTCTAGAACTTTCAACTCGAAGAATTTTTCTCAATTTTTCTGATCTGATTATTATTAAGTAAAATCATTTACACATTCAATCAACTTTTTAATAATCATGGTTGATTATGTATTCGATGTAAATACAAGAATTCACTGTTCAAAATAATCTCTTTAACTTGCAAATAATAGTTTTAATGGCTTGAATTGATGAATCTATACTGCATACACTGCTGGTGCAAAGCGTCCGGAATATCTGTCCCATAATACGTCGGTTGGCAGTAAAAAGACTGCACCTGGTGCCTGTGCTCCCTCAGGTACTTCTGATGGAGCACCGAGTCCAGCTGATTCAGCCAAGAATTCAATTCCCAGTTCTTGCGCATCTTCCAGCCCTTCTGGACTCTCTTCTGCTGATGGTAGAATTCCCACGCCCTCTCCCTCCTCCACCGTGCGTTCTCCTAATCATACCCCGGGGTTTTCGTAATCATGAGGAATTAAAGTGTAATAAGAGTGGTTAAAGTACCTCTTCCTCTTTTATTTTCTTCTTCGTGCCGTCTTCCTGTTTAGGGCGAGTTAGTTTGTGAACCTTCTGTCGATTTTCGTGATCCCTTTGGATGATTTTCCTGGAGGTCTTGGAGGAACTGGAGGAAGTTTCATTTTTTAATTCGGGTTTTTCGATTTTTTTGCGGGCGTTCACTGTCATTGGGGATTTATTCTTCGACTGAGGCGCCTCCACTGGAGGTTTTTGGGGGTTTTTGTTCAGGAGTGAGGACCACTCCTCGCAGACCCTCTTGTGGAGCTTCACTAGGTGATCTGCATGACGAAAATATTGATATTTACGTTTTTTTAATGATAAAATTGAATAGATCAGACCATTGTCATCTAGAGCCTTTTTTATCATCTCTTTGATAATTTTTTTTAAATTCTCTGCCGAGACACTCTCCACCTTCTTCCCTCCCCTATTTTTCTGAACATTTTCCATAATCGACAATAAAACTTGATAATTTTGAAGTCAACCCAAACGTCACTAAATAATAATTCCCATTCAATTGTTTCTAACTCCACGAATTTTATTGATATCACACAATGTACAGATTTCACATTATAATACATTTAAATAACTTATTAATATAGTGTACTCGGCCATGACTGCTTGAAAATCGCAAATATTATGTACAGAAAATAACGAAAAATCGCGTTCTCAATAGCTTGAAAGTCCACATCGAGCGATACAGAGCAGAGTCAGAATACAGTTCCCACTCCTCTAATTTTCGTATTAAAAAACAACTCAAGCGGAGAACAATTCAATTCTCACAATGGATCTGCTCTGTTCCACTTAAGTAGCCCGTGGGCAGGAATATAATTCATTGAATCGTGTCCCTGTTTCAGAGACTGGAGAAATCTAAATGTTATACTCATTCACGAACAAATGTTCCCTCTCCACGTTTTCGAGAAATTCAAGTCAATTTAGTAATTTTAAACATGAAGAATGGAGAATTTCCTAATGTTCTTCCCAACATTCAGATAAAAAATGAAATTTAGTTCTTTGAAATAAGTTATTGACATAAATAATAATTCCTCATTCATAAAATTGTTCATTAATTAATCATCATTTTTCCACTGTTCTGGAATCACCGGAATTGATAAAAGAATTATTGAAGACTTCGGAGCTTTTGGTCAATTGAAAATAAAAATTTCGATGAGAGCAAAAATTCCGAAAATGAATAAAAAAATTAATTCACGTTAGTTTTGATCCAATCAGCATACGAAGTGACTCTGGTATAGACCCCCGGGTACCCGGGCTCGCCGCATTTGTTCCCAAAAGAAACGATTCCAATCTGCATCCACTTCCCCTCGGCCCGAAGCATGAGTGGCCCCCCGGAGTCGCCCTGGCACGCGTCCTTGCCACCCTGGCTGTAGCCAGCGCACAGAAAATTGCCAGTTATCGGCTGAAAGTATGCTGCATTGCAGTCCTCGTTCCTCCAGACCGGGAGCACTGCCTGCCTCTGCACGGTGCTCTCCTTTCCCCCTGCGGAAAATTACCAAAAATGTTTTTCGAGTCCATTCAGGTCGCTGGGACCAGGGGGGGGGGGAATCACACAGTCGTCGAAAGGCGAAGGAAAGGGGCTGATCGGGTTTATTTATGCTTGGGTGAAGCACGAGATAATTTTAAGGATATCCAAGTATCTTTTACAGTTGTCAATTAAATTGCGTGAGAAAAATTTGAAAACAATCGTGAATATTCTGTACATTTTGCACAGAATTATTATTCTTTCAAGCAATAAAAAATTGAATGGAAATGGAATCGATTTAACATTCCGAATGAATGATTTTTATGGTATGAAATTGATTGTTTATAAATTATTTACAGATGTCAATTGAAATGCTCGTAATTTTCACAAATTGCAATTTTTTAATTATTTCATCAATCTTCCTCTAAGAGTGAAATTTTTAATGTTTTAAAATTTCTTAAAATGTTGTTAAACGGTTCAATATCGAGATTTAAATTTAAAAAATAGAAGAGCATTTCACTGGAGAAAAAACAGCTAAAGTTCTTGGATATCCTTAAGAGCAATAAAAAGAAAATGAGGGAGTTCAATTGAGGTAAGTGAAAAGATGTGTTGTGTTACGGTTTCTCTGGTTCCGGGAGAGATAAAGGAACATTGGGAGCGATATTATAAAAATATTTTCCACACTGCATTCGTCTCTCAGATATGAAAAATAGTTGAATAGTTGCCCTCATCCAAATAAAGAATTTATTGGTTAAAAGTGGAAGGCAAAAAAATGATTTAAATTTTTTATTGAACAGTAGTAAATGAGAGATCTATGGAAACAAGGGTTCTTAAAAATGTTCATAAAATGTGTTAATGAAAGTGAAGCGTAAAAACTCTTTCGCTTTAATGCTCTCATAAACGACATAATTTACGTTTCACTTGAACGATACCTCGAAAATAATTTAAGAGCGATAAAAAGGAAATAAAAATGGGCCTCAATCGACCGAAAGAAGTGCAATGATGATGCTATTGCGGGTCCATTAATTTCAGAGATATCGAGTGACTCTGAAAGCTGGGAAAATTCCACCAAAAACAGGCATTAAATCCATCTCCTCAAAAAATGAAAATTATAAATTGGGGAATCAGTAATTACCGTAGTAGGTCGTTCCCCAGCCGACAACTGTGGGTCTCGTACCCGCGAAAACTTCCGAGAGGTAACGACCCTGAGGCAGGCAAATTGGTCTGACGTAAGGGGTTTTTCTCACGGATCTACTTAACTCCAGTATGGCAATGTCGTTGTAGTAACCAACTCGTGAGAATTTATTGTGTGCGTGAACTGCCCTCACTTCGTATGTCTCCGGGGATGACGGCTCGTCGTCACGCTCAAGGTCAATGTCACCGAGACGTACTGTAAATTGACGAGCTGCAAAGCTAAAATTTTTTACGTCGTAAATTTCTTCATGAAAGGACAATTAATGATTTATTAAATAAGAATAATTAATAATTAATTTAATAATACGGAGAAATTCTTATTGATTCTGCATTTTCGTTTTCTTATTCGTCTGAAATTATCGAATTTTGAGAAAATAAAAAACAGGAATAATTGAATCATAAAAATAATAAAATCATATCGTCAATTTGGGAGTATTTTTGAGATTTTTTAAATTTTCTTACGGTCTTTGTCGCATATCTCTAGTGCAATGCGCAGCCGTCAGTATATGCCGAGGCCCTATAAGAGAGCCTCCACACCAGAATTCAGTTTTCCTAGTTCCCCTGAGAAAAATCGCTGCCATCCAGGGCCAACGTCCCGGAAGCGCCTCCTCTCCCCCGACCACTCGAAATTTTCCAGCATTCCTGACTCCACATTCTTCCGGATCGTTGAGAAAACATTGATTAAATAGAGAACATTCATTAAGGACATCCAAGTATTTTTCACAGTTCGGTACAGACCACTCTGTACATTCAACCATTTTCAATCATCAAATTTGTCAATTAAATCGGGTGAGAAAGTTTCCACAGAATTATTATTTTTTCCAACATTCGTTGTTTACAAATAAATAATTAAAATTGTTTAAACTTTTGGAAACCTAATTTTTTTAGGCATGAAATCGTTTTCTGATAAAATTCTGAATATGAATAAATTTGTTACGATTCCGAAGAAATTATTTTTATCGTGAAAAATTCATTGTTTATTAATTATTCATGAATAATGCTCGTTATTTTCAAAAATTGCAGTTTTTACCATTTTTAATAATTTTTTTAATTAATTAAAAAATTTGTTAATCAATGAAATTTTACCAGTTGTACAATGGTTTTAATAAAATCATTTTCTACTGGAAAAAAATAGTCAAAGTACTTGGACATTCTTAAATACGAAGCGTAGAGTCAGTTTATTCGCTTGCCTTCGTCGTCTTGAATGAAATTATTCTCGATGCTGTCAACTCCCTCGAAACCATTCGAGCCATTTCCTACCGGAAGTGGCTTGAGCACGGTGCTAACGGTGGAAGTGGCTATCGGATAGAGAGGAATTGGCCGCGGTGTCACCGGCTTGAGTGGACGCTGGGGCCTCGGGGGACGTCCACTTTCACTGACCGATGAACCCGTCTCTGGGCTACAAGTTTTATCGTCAATTAAATTTCTATATCTAACCATAGAAAGTTGACGATTACTAGATGTATTCATGCATCACACGAGGGGCTTTAATTACGGATAACATAATTGAAGAAAATTCCAATCGAGTTATGATTTTCCTTGCTTTTTTTCGCGGACGTTCCAGGGATATTTACAATAAAAAATCAGTTGATTCATAAAATTGATAAGACAATTGATAAAATTAATTAATATAATTCTAAAGGAGTTGAAGGCGTTTTTGCTGTGCACAACAAAAACGAATGTTTGAAGTTCACACAACTTTTGTAGACATTTTTCAGACTCTAAAAACCACTTCATAACGTCTTCATTTCAAACATGAATTAAGACGTTTAGGCACCTGTTCGTCCGAGTTAATTAATTGTCGTTCCATAAATTAGGATATTTCTCCTCTCAATTCCTTTTTATTCTCGCTTAACAATGAATTAATTTATTAATTTTTATTTTCCCTAATCTCCGCAAAATCGAAGGAAATTCCAATTGAATTATAATTCTCCCTGCGTTTCTTGCTCATTCAATTCAGTAGAAAAATTCTACTGAGGGCAGACGCTCCAGAGACATTTAAAATGAGAAATAAAAACCGAAGATATCGTAGAATATACCTCAAATTAGCCCCATCGGCCTTGTCAACAGGGCAACAGACCCCGGGGACAAACAAGCTCTTGAAACACAGCGACTGCCTCAACTTCGTGAGATCCAAAAGCAGTTGAGGGCAATTACTCAAGTCCTGGCACTTGCCGGGTGCCCCCTCGGAGGTCGTGCAGGTCGAGGAGGCAGCCTCCTTGTCCCTGTTGACCACAGTCTCCACCGGGGTCGTGCCCTGGGCCTCTGGGGTCGCCGCAGGCCTCAGGGGCAGCGTCACCCCCCGCACCAGAGGTGCGATGCTGTCGGTGACGTTTCTCCCGAGAATATTCTTCGAAATCGTGTAGATGGCGGACGGGAGCTCCTTGGGGGGGCTCTCGGAGTCGACTCCCCTCGTCATGTTCACTATGTAGCTCCCCACCGTATTCAGGGCCCCCAGGGTCTCGCTGATGGTCATCAGGGGGTCCGACTTGGGCTCCGATTGCCGGACTAGTCTTGTGTATTGCATTTTCGAGGGCTCCTCCGTGTCTCGGCGGTACAGGGGACTCCTTCGGGGTCCGTCACCCCAGGAGTCACTCCATCTCCTCGTCAGGGAGTAGTGCGACTGTTGGGGTCGACCTCCATATCCTATTTTACACATTTTTTTTAAATTTTTTAACATCCAAAATCTCGATCGAGAGGTGAGGATTCTCGCAAGATTCATTGATTTATTTATTTATCACTATTAAAGTAAATAAATAAATAATTAATAATAATAACAGTAACGGTAATAATAATTGTTCATATGCTCTCCAATAATTTTAAACTCACGAGGATGAAGATACTGCGGATACTCCTCATAGGACCAAGCCCCCAGTGTCGATAAAAAAGCGACAAAAATTCCTGGAACGATGAGATAAAAATAATAATCAATGTGGTGTCGTCACTCATTACAATGATAAGTAAAGTGGGTCTCCATCGAAGGTGACACCAGCATGAAAATTCAAATCGGAAATCCCCAATTGCGTAATGAGTGATATAACACCGCGTGGCTTGAAGATCCGGGCTTTCCATTTTTCTTGGAAGATCCGAATCAACTTTCATCGTTAGGTATTGCTGGAACCAGCTCCGGAATTAATTCGGGGTATAGCCCACTAATTTTGACCTTTTTCGTTAATTATTGGCGGGGGGAGTCTATCATTCGTAAATGAAAAATACGGTTCAGTGAAATGTGAACTGTTTAGGTAACAGAAATGAAATTCCTCGTCTTTCTAGGATAGTTTTTCTAGTTGAAAATTAATTCATATGAAATTTCTCCCGCATGTATTCCTATCACGCGTCTAATTCGACTCAGGGCCCCCGGAACAATGAGCCTAGGCCAATTAGCATTCCCGAAATGAGTCCCCCTCTCAGAAAAAAAAACTCGAGTGTAAGAGCAGCGGAAAAAAATCCGAAAATTAGACTGATGGAGTGACGTGCGTGTCACAGAGGTAGGAAACAGGATTTTTCGATTCCCATTACGAGGCCTATGAGGCTCCATCGACGGTGAAAGTTACCCCGGCCGTGAAAGTGTGCCTTTCTTCCCATACACCACGAACTCTGATTCACCGTCTAGCTGAATGGTCTGTATACATCATGTGGCTGTCCATCTCCCGAAATAAAGGCTAATGCGAGTGAGGAGAGATGTGATGGAGGAGGTCGACGGAAACCTCGGTCTTCGAGACTAATTTCGAGGGGTCATTAAGGATATACAAGTGGATTTTACAGTTTGGTACGGACCACACCGAATTCAAACATTTTCAATCATTAAATTTTTCAATTCAATTGGGTGAGGAAAATTTGGAAAAACCAGGAATATTCGGCGTTATTCGGCGAAATTTTTTAAACACTTGTTGGTTATAAGTAAATAATTGAAATTGTTTAAATACGAAATCGATGTCATAATCGGTTGGAAAATTGTTTGTTTATAAATTAATTATAAAAAATGCTCGCAATTTTCGAAAAGTGAGCTTTCTAATTTTTTTCAGATTTTTAAAATGTTTAAAATGTTTTTTTTATGTTTAAATAATAAAATCATTGTGAAATTTTTGGAAAAGAGTCAAATAGGGTTTAAATGAAAGCTCTGATGTTAAAAAAATTGCCAAAGTGCTTGGATATCCTAAATCATGAGACATTCGAAATGAAAAAATGCAAAACATTCTCGACCCTTCGAACAAAAAATTATTTAATGGGGCTATCGTCTTTAAACGTCCTTGAAGTGGGTTAAAGAGGAGAATGTTGGCATCCGCAATTGTCACTCGGGGATGACAAAGATAAACAACGAGAGTTTGGACAATATTCATGTGCGGATGTGGGTGAAAGTTTTATGCCCATTCAAAAAAAAATACAAAAGTCAATTTGATTTTATTTTCTCTTTCCGTTCCTCCCATTCACATTTTGATTTTTTCTTCTTTTTTCATTTCCGCTTCAAAACTCATAATTTCATTTTACGTTAATGAAAATGCGGGTGAAAGTTTAATGCGGATTTTAAAAAACCAAAATTGTTATTCCACTTTGTTTATACTGTCTCTAATTAATTGATTGCTCATCTTTTCGTTATTCCGCATTTTTTAATATTTTTCCCCGAAAAAAATCGAGTGAAAGTAATTTTCAAAATGATCATCAATGACAATAAAAACCCCAATATTCAGCGAATGTCGAATGAATGAAATTCCCGTGGATATGACCTGAATAGCTCTCTAGTGTCGGGCATAAATACCGGGGCGTGGGCGTTCCACTCAATTAAAGGAAGAGATACGATTCAGAATCAAAATGATTCGTCTTTATGGCGCGTGCGAACGTTAACAAAGGAAGAAATCCGGCGGCACAATGTGAGAGGAGAGAGAAAAAAATATAATATCCAAAGAAATGAGAAGCACTCGATGGCCGGAACGAAAACTCTGGATTTCTTCTTTCACGTCTTGGTGGTTGTATACCCTGTTACTGAACCGAATAACCCAGATATCAACTTCATCTTCAATTTTGCCAATGATTATTTTCCCGAAGCTCTTCTTAATTGGAAACATAACAGCTTCGATTAATTTTCGTTCACCAGTATGAGAACTGATAATGCAATAAAACATTTCGAGAAAGCAAATTAAAAAAAAAAACTAAATATTTTGCAAATTATTTTGATTTGATTAATCAGTTGCAAATTATTTTGCGGCAGAAATCACCTCTTCCAGATGCATTAGAATACTCTCGGAATGTTTTCTTCACTCGTCTTCTCATTTTTTTTCAAATTGTGAATTTCCACGAACATGAGGAAGAAAAGTATTGTGACAATCGTCCCCTGGCAATTCCCACGTGTCGCTCTTGAGCCCCTTGATGACAGAGTACTTACCCAGCACCCATGAAGACATCCTCAGTGTAAACTGCATTATTTATCCACTAGCATTACAATTTCAGGAAGAATATCACCACTCAACGTATTCACACGAGAAAAATCCAACTGAATAACTCAGCAGAAAAAAAAACCACTATTTTCCCCCTCAACAAAACTTCTGTCCCCCCAGGAGTGAAAAATCGTAAAGAAATCTCGAGAAACAGGATTCCCTCCGGCTTTTAAACTCCTTGTTTTGGTGTTGAGCCGGCAAAAATCGAATAGGAAGTGCGTAGAGTTGTTGGTAGTCGCAGGGACAGTCCTGACTACAACACGACTGTCCGTGAAAAGACCTCGACATACTTACCACCCAACGAAGAAGTTTACTCTCTCTCCTTTCCTCTTGGTTCATTTTTTCTTGAGGCGCCATCCCTCACGCCCCGTCCCCACATCCAAGGGAAAGTGGTTTCATTCCCCACCTGTTACTTTTGAATAAAAAAAAGGAAAAAAATCATGATAAACACTTCAGTGTCCGATGATTCGTTACGAGAATGCCACGTTGGGATTCAGCCTCGAATGCAATCCAGTGTCAACATTTCAACGAAATTTCTCCAGTTTAAGGACTGATAACATCAGCTTTTGAGGTTTTTGGAATGGAACAGGGTGTGACTGTTTGGCATGATAACATCATTCATTAACACGTTTCGTTATCGTAAATCCGATCGGCAATACAAATTATTTCTATGAAATTATCTGAGGGAAAATGAATTTTAAAAATAATTTTACAAGAAAACATTCTGCATCTTAAATGTCAATTTATTTCGATAATTAAATTCTAGCAATTAGAGATTAAACGTTACAGATATAAACACTGTTCTCTTACTACGTTCAATATCATATGAATTCACTCAAATTTTCGTATCTTAATCATTAGTGACGTAATCATTATAATCCCAGACTTGGTTTTATGATTAATAAAAATCATTGGAAAATGAACTATTTAAAAATATTGTGATAATGAATCGTTAGCACGAGTCGAAAAATAACGAAAAAATGATAATTTCTAATCGTGCAACTAAACATTGACCTGATTCTCTGATTATGCGTCATCAATTAATTGTCTCTCTTCTCACTACTTAAACCGAGTGACAAAAACCCACAAAAAGTGAATTACTCTTATGTAACTCTCCTATTTTAGCTGTAATTTTCGTTCAAGTGCGCACGATTCATAAATTCTATAAACAAATATACATAAAGTCATCGAGAAAAGAAAAATTAATGAGAAAAGAAAAAAATAACTGCTGTGAAAATAAACACCAGACTGTACAAATACGTACGCTTACTGAATACGTATTAATCCAAAAAAAATCAACTAATTAGTTCCACTTTTTTACGATTAATACTTTCTCAAACTGGGCATGGAATACTTGTACGGGTCAAAGCGTTCGTTAGAGGGAGTTGTGCCTGGTGCTGTGATTCCCATGGACTGAATTGGCCCTCCCTGGTAGCCAATTGGTGGTCCTGGATGTCTCAGAGTATTTCCAGAGCTGCTGGAAACCCATCTGTTGACACCCTCTGATGAACGATTACTCCAACTCGATGGCTCATTCCTCACGTCACTTCGTTGGCTACCACTGCTGGAGACTGCGTTGAAGGACTTTGAGGACGGTGCACCCCCGTGCCATCCACTGGGGGTCCTGCTGCTCTCGCTGTAACGGCTGTCACCTAGAAAATTTAATTTTTTCTTTGAGTAAAAAAAATTGATTAGTCCAGTTTTGCAGTGAAGTTGGTTTGGAATAATTAAAATAATTGATTACTTCACTTCTATTGAATAATTTGGGATTATAAATTTTATTTCTCTAGAAATGAAGTAATCAATTATTATTTTATGAGTTAAAATTCATTTTGCGAATGATAAAATGAGACTAAGTAATGTCGCCGTCGAGGATTTTGAGCGATTCTCTCATTTTATCATTCGTAGAGGGAATTGAAAAATATTGAATGTTATGATCATGTGGAAATTAATTAACTAGAATTATAGGGGCTATGAAGATAACTTACGTCCTTGTGAGCTTGAGCCCGGTGGTTTTGAGCTGTCACTGTAGCGACTAGAGTCTCTAGAGCTTCTGTGATTATCTGCATCGTTACGTCGCACTTCACGCTCGCTGCGTCCATAAGATGTGCTGCTGGGTCTTTCGTATCTGCTAAACATGACAAATGCCAGGAAAAATTGTTAATTCAATTGTCCATGAGTGAAATAACAAATTAGAGGCTCAACGAGATGGAAAATAGAGAATAATTTCCTTCTCATATTGACAAATGACTCTACGATGAATGGGATCCTCCTGCCCAGACATTGGGATCATCAATTTTAGAATAAAAAAATGTTAAATCATGGTTTATTCACCTCTCTTTCACCTGACGTGGATCAATTGTTGACGTTGCAGTTGGTAGAGTCTCACGTCGTACAATGACCTCTCTCCCTCGAGACACATCAGTGAATGTTTCTGGACGACTGCTACGCGATGAAAACTCACTTCCACGTTTTTTCAATGTCAGATCTTGAGTTGATCTGAAAATCATAAAATAGTACACAATTAATATTTCAGCGGAGCATTACGTTTCTCACGAATCTTCTACGATTTTTTAAATTTAAAGTCAACAGTAAATCGCCAAATAATGAAATATTTAATTGCATCTCAAGAACAGGGACGACCATTAACGGTAATTATGATTCACGAGTACGTACATCCCTGCCCAAGAAATTGAAGAATAAAATGTATTATAGTAAAAAAAAATCATTAGCTGGAAAATTCCCCAAAAAATCTGAAAAACGAAAAATCTATTCATTGAAACCCCTGAAAAAAGTACCTAGTGGAGTCATATCTCCCGGAAGGTGACCCATCGATCCTCCTATCCGAGACGCGATCAAGGATTTCAGTCCTCCTATCGGAGACCCTCTCGGGGCTGTGCCTCCTGCTGTGCTCAGTGGTCAATCGTTTCCTCTCAGGTTCAGCATACATTTCCCTGATGTCCCTCCTGTCACTGGAGGACCTCTTGATGGCAGGGGGCGGAGGCACCCTCCTGCTCTCCTCAAGCCTCATCTGCTGCCTCTTGAGCTCGAGCCTCTCCCTCTCGAGCTTCTCTCGCTCCTGCTTCTGCCTCTCCCGCTCGAGCCTGAGCAGCTCCGCCTTCTCCTGCTCGATCTTCTCCCTCTCCCTCCTGAGCTTCTCCCTCTCACGCTCTAACCGAGCTGCCTCCTCCCTCTGCCTGCGTTCGATCTCCCGTTGACGTTCCATGTCCTCCCGACGTCGACGCTCCTCCTCTCGAAGCAGACGCTCACGATCCCGAAGACGCTGCCTCTCCCTCTCCTCCCTGATCTTTGCGAACGTCAAGACGTCGTCCTTTCGTCGCCTCTCACGACTGCGAGACCTCGAGGCACGATGACCATCGGCTGGACGAGCGCGTTTGTCGTCGCGTTTACGCTCACCCTCGGGCTTTTTACTCGTTGATTTAGTCGATCTCGCGTCACCGTCCTTCCCCTCCTCCTTCTTCTCGGTGGCTTCGGGTTTCTTGTCGTCCGAGTGGGACTTGTCGTCGGTTTTCTTGGGAGACTTGTCACCAGACTTGTCTTCAGTCTCTTTTTTCTCGGTTTTCTCCTTCTTATCGGAGGTGGAATCGTGGTGGGAGTCTTTGGGCTTCTCCTTTTCGTCTTTCTTCTCGGGCTTGCCGTTTGTCGACTCACGTTTGCGCATGTGGCCCTGCTGGGAGTCCCCTTTAGCCTAATTCAATAAGAAGAATTTACGTAATTGGAGAAATTATTGAGACGTTTTATGGTCATTTTACCCCATTCCAGGTTTAATTTCAGACGAAATCCTCATTATTGTATCATAATTCAAGAAATAGTCCCATTTGAATGTTCTCTTTTCACTTGACGCCTGAACAAATTAATTGAAGAGGAGAAATTTACCTTCTCAACTGAAATCACACGTCCATGCAGCTCAGTTCGATGCAGATGTTGGATGCACTTGGCTGCATCCTCACTCGTGGACATCGTGACGTAACCGTAACACCTGGCACCTGGAGTTCTCGCATTAGTCACGACTTTGGCACCGATAACTTTTCCATATTTCGAGAATATCTGCTTCAAGTCAGTGGCACGAGTTGTCGAGGATAACCCAGACACCCATAAGTTTCGGCTGCCTGCGTTCGCAGAACTGCTAGCAGTTTTCTTGTCTGTATCGACGAGAAAAATATAAAATTCAACACTGAACCCTCAAATGCAAACAGTAGTTTTCATAAATAATTACATGATTTCTCAGAAACAAGTGATTCTAAGTGAAGATGGAAAAATCACTGAACTTATGACGTTTCATTACTTCAACTACGGAAATAATTTCTATTCTTTAATATCACTCGTCTCTAGAATTTTTAAATTTTTTCTGTTGAATATTTTTTTAATTATTGGGGTTTTAATAATACAAATAAATAACTGAACTCACCCTTATCATCTCTCTTCTGTCCCTTGTTACTAGATTCACTGCTGTAAACAACACAATATTAAAATCAAATCCAAATTCCCTCCTCAAACTAATCTCCGTAAAAAATAATTCAATAGATTTTTGTCTAAGAATACCGCACCGCCCACATCCCCAACAAACCATTAATGGACTCTACGAGGCTCAAAACAACCCCTGGAACTACGTCGAGTCTCCAAAATTGGCTAGCAATCCTTTCTCCCCTGCCCCCATCAACCCCACTGGAGCAGCTTGTCGCGTAAATCCACCGTAGCAAAATCTTCAATCTTCTCTCTTCATGATCTTCAAATCTCGTTCCAAAACCGCACGCTGATCCCTCCATAAATCCTCCTGTTGTGATCCAACTGTTGCATCCACTTGCTGATCCGCCACCAATCCCGAAAGTTTGCTAGCCAAAATTTCCCCAAGCCCTCGACATACTTTCCAGAGTTGAGAATGCACCTCAGACCCACCAAAATGTTCAAACATCCCCACAAAAAAAAATGTCCAAAACAACCCAAAGAAAATTGTAAAAATCGAAAGAATAAAAGTGAAATCTTGCGTGTGAACTGTCGTATTAATCTTGTGGGAAACAGGTTTAAGCGTTGGTTCGTAGAACTGTTACATCCAGGTGATGGCGTAATCCAGGAAGCTCAATCGCTTTTTTTTTATCGAAATACATTTTATACATTTCCCTAAACATACTTTAGCCTCGATGGATAAACGTGACGCACTGTATATTTGTTTTTTTTTAGCAATGTGAGACCAACCTCTTGCCTCCATCGTCCTTGCTCTTGTTCCCGGTTGAGTTGGATCCGCTGTCCTTGCCACCAGTGTCACCTCTGCTACCTTTGGAATCTCCCTTCTTGCTGTTATCTTCAATTCTCTTCTTACCCCCACCATCTGCAGGAACAATCAAGCCAACTAGTGTACAGTGTCGTCAACATCCCCAACTGTTTTGGTTTTTTTTTAATAAATAGTTTTTTTAGGAATTGTTTGGTCAGGTTTGTGGTTCCATGATGAATGCGAATCGGGTTGAGTAGTTGTTGGTAGTATCTTGGTGCCTGAAATAAAAGGTTTCTCGCCCCCACACACACATCGTCCTCTGCTAAATTGTGGATTAGAGCTGAGTGGCTCAACTTGCTGTGTTTACAGACGTTAATAATTATTTTACTTCGTTTGCTGAAAGACAAACTGTGAGATAATGCCTGGAAATATCGGTTTTTTCATTTCGTTTATGCCTCGACATTAAGGAGAAAAATAAAAATGGGAAAGAATTTTTTTTTTTCGATTTAGATCTCTCGATGCAGTTGTGACAATGATGAATTATTATTTTTTTTCTAACTGATCCAACGATGCTCTATCACTTTATCTACACTATTTAACGGAATTTGAATGAATTTTAATTAAGCCGGCATCTTCGAATCGGGAGCTGCAGTGGAGCTTCTCTCGAGATGACGTCACTTGACAGAATTGAAGATCAGGTCTCCCAGTCTGGATTCGCTTACTTGGGATTTTTGGTACAACTTCACGAGTTTTTTTTTTTAATCGGATTATTGGAGATACTTTACGGTAAAATGGTTGATTTGTTTGAATGGTAAGTTCCGGGGCATCCGCTGATGAGTCTTCTCAACTCGTATGCGGTTTAGGCTGGAGATTTAGGCTCGATTCTCCTCGGTCTTGAGTCCAAACGCTCTCGTTTTTCGAGATTACTTACGTGGGTGGAGCTCCAGCGATGATTATTTCGTTTCTGTTATTTTCTGGAGGGGATTCTCTCGGTTTTTTTGGTCTTGGGGGGTTTATTTCAAGGGTTTTTATTCTAAAAAGGGAGTGGAAATGAGGGCAGGACTTACCTTTCTGCTTGACGTGCGTCTCGGTCTGCAAGTGAAGGATTAATTCATTAGAATTTCTTTATTGAGACAAATAAAAAAATTAATCTTGAGAAATTAATAAAAATGAATTGAGGGAATTTCTTCAATTCAATTATTCGCCAGTTTTTCGCGAATTATTGTGTAAAAAAGAAGAAAAAATAAAAAATAAAAATTTCCCAAGGGAAATTAATTTAATGGAATTGAAAAATTGACGTACCTCCTCGGCTAGGAGGTTCTCCTCGTCCTCCCCGATGGTCAAATTGATGGAATCCTCATTGTCGATGCCATTGGCTTCAATAGTAGCTGATGTGGTGTCAGGTACAATAGCAGGAGGAGGAGGAGCGATTGGAGTAGCCTCAGGGCTTGTTTTTTTCTCGGGCTCCTTGACACTCTCAACCTTCTCAGACTCCTTGACACTCTCCTTCTTGTCCTCTGACTGTACCTCCATGGGCTCTTCCTGCACCTCCACTTCCTCCACTTCCTTTTCCTCTTCCTCCTCTTTTTGTTCTTCCTTAAGCTCTTCTTTCTGCTCTTCTTTCACCTCCTCCTTCTCCTCTTCCTCAACTGATGGTTCATCTTCAACTGTCTCTGGGGTTTCCTGAAAGTTAATTAATGAATAAATTAATAACTTAAATCCTGTAATTTATGATTAAAACGAAGGATGAGAATATTTGAGGTAAAATGGAGCTTCTTAAATCATCAATATCTCCTCATTGGACGATCCGATTCGAACGAGTCTCAAAGCTCATTTTAAGCTCTGAAAAAATATCTTCAACATGAAAATAAATCGTCCAATTTCACTCTGGCAGTCTCGAGTTATTCAAGATTAGGAAAAGTCCATTAACCCCTCTCCCCGAAAAAAACATTTAACTTACGTTTTTGGGTGATGGTTTGGCCTCCACTTCAGCCACCAGAGACTTTGGCTCCTCACTACGCTTTATCTCCTCAATATCTTTGCTGTTATCAACGCTCTCCTCTTTATGATTACTCTCCTGCGTCTCTTGGGGCTCTTCCGGAGGGTTCGTTCCAGTAACTGAAGGCAAAATAAATATATGCAATCGATGAACAACAGGGGACTATACCAATCTAAGTGAGTTTGTTCCATTATCTGATTCAGATGTAAATCCACAAAGAAAATAATAATACTGTTATTCAGACATCGGCATAATCATAAATATTAATTAAAGTTAAATTTTGAATAACTCAATTTCTACCATTACTCACCAATTTTTTAATTATTAAATTAATCATCAATTAAATATTAAAACTCCACATTATTTTAAAATATTTTCATGACATTTAGAGACATTTATTTATTTGTCAACTGAAAATTGAAATTACTAATTGTCATATTATTTTTCAAATTTCATTGAAGATGAGTAAATTTTAATTATTGTAAAATGCAACTTCTCATAATATTACTAAACTAATGATTGATGCCGATCCATGGGAGCAGAAATAATATTTCCCCATTATCTCAAGCTCCCCATTCACCCGAAGAAGCCAAGAGCATAAATAAGCTACGTACCACTGTTTTTCCGAGGGCTTATCTTGTTTGTTCCAACACAGGGAACAATCAGGTACTCCTCCGGGTCCTCTCCCTCCTCAGAAATCGCCTGAAACCGTTGAAAGACTCGTGAGACTCGTCACCCCAAGAATAACACAGCTAAATCGTTCATTACAACGTTGAACTCGAAATTAGATGGAAAATCAGCGTTTGTGTCAGCATGCGAGTAATCAATAGGGTTAAAATGGCGCCGGTCGACCACGCGACGCCCGGGCAGCCACAAGGCCATTGGCATCCATGAATAGGTCCCAAAGGACTCCAAAAATTCCCAAAAATTCGATAATCAAGGAATTATGATTTTTACCTTCGACAGACGCTCCAGAAGTGCAGCTTTATTTCCGGTTTTGTCGAGTCCCCGTCTCTCCAGCTCCGTTTTCAGATCTATGACCCTTAGTTCGGTCAATTTTTTACCCTCGGCATCGGCCATTATCATCAAACACTGCTCACTTGTCTCGTGAGGTCGATTGCACCGAGTTTTAACTGTTAACACTGTTTTCGCGGCTGAATGCGTGCGGCGCAGGTTAGTGGATTAATTCTTCTCGATTTTGCGGGGGGATTTGGTGCATCGGAGGACGATTTTATCCGCGTAATGTCGGTTTTTTTGGAGAGCTATCGCCGTGCGAGAGGAAAGTGAACGCCGTGGACTTGCATGGAACGCGCAGTGCACCTCTGCGCACTCATCCCCACTCTCGGGGTCTCTATTGGTTGGCGCTGCATGCAGATTTTTCTCGGGAGCTAAATTCAAAATTACGGAATTTACTGGGGAAAGGAAATGGAAACTCGAATTTCACTTGAGGATATTCAAGTATTTTTCACAGTTCGGCATAGCCCACAGTGTAGATTCAACCATTTTCAATCATCAAATTTGTTGATTTCATTGCGTGAACAAAATTTGAAAAAATCGTGAATATTTAGCGTCAAAATTACATTTTACACAGAATTATGATTTTTTTAAATATGCGTTGTGCATATAAATAATTGAAATTGTTAAAATTTATTACGATTTCGAAGAAATGATTTTTATGCTGGAAAATGAATTTTCATAATGACGAATCGTGAATTTGAAAATGATCCGCTTGTGGGCGCAATACGTTTTTATCAATTAATTTAAAAAAAAGTCGTTTAGATTAGTCTAAGAACAACTTTATTTAAAAAAATGCTTTTTCCCAAACCCATTACAATCGTAACATTCAATCTCAAAGGAAAAAATTCCTCATTCACATTTCCTTTTTCTAATTTCTAAATCTATTTTCACTCTCATTAACAATATATATATCCCCAGCAAATTCTCATGCTGCATTCAACGATAACAGCCCCATTTTCACACATTGTTCAACTAACTCTCTTATCTCGAATTGGAATTAATCGTCTTGTCCTACCCCTACTGGATTAATTCCAGTCATTTGAACATATCGTTATCTCCGCGACCTATTTGCAGTGGATCATGACCTTTATTGCTCCACTGGTCGGCGACTTGGCTGCGTCGAACGCCTCGACGGTTTTTTCCATGTGAAAGTTGTGCGTTATGAGGGGTTTCACGTTGATTTTGCCGGAAGCCACGAGGTCCAGGGCGTCAGCATAGTCATTAGCGTATCTGAACACTCCGCGAATGTCCACTTCGCGAGTTAGAGCATTTATCAGTGGAATTTTTACCTCGGGAGCGCCCATTCCCACCAAAACTACAACTCCACCCGATTTGGTAGCCTGCAATGATCAATTTAGAATTGTAAATAATAGTGGAACAATTTCAATCGATAGTTTCAGTGATAATTATAATTAAATCGTCCTTCAAGTGATTAAAATCAAGGTTATTTAATTTTCAGATGATGAAGAATAGAAAAAAAGGTCGAATAGAGTAAACACTGTTTTAATTTTTTTAAATATGTTATTTAAAAAATAAGTTATTGAGTCAGCACCTGAATTTCCAGAAAATCTCCATCAAAAAACATTGAGGAATAAATTTTTTTATTAATAATTTGCGCTTGATTTGTAATTTTTTTATTTGAGAATTATTTCAGGACTGATTTTCTTCCTTTAGCAGCTGAAAATATTTCCAGAAAAAAAAATCGCGTCGCGTTGAATTTTTCAATAATTTTCTGGACAAATGATTTTGATTTTTTATTTACTCACAAAAATGGCGGTTCTGATAGTCGATTCAGCCCCGGAGGCGTCGATAGTCTTGTCAGGCTCCCCTCCGAGGAGTTTATGAACCTCCGCGACGACCTGGGTCTCCGAGAGACCCTTGACCAGAAGCGTTTCATCAGCGCCCAATTCTTTCGCCGTCTGCAATCGTCCTGGGACGATGTCTATTGGGAATTCCCAAGAATAAAAATAATAAAAAAATGGAGAAACAGTAGAAATTAAATTGCAGGAATTAAATTAATCAATTAGAACAAAATAAAATTGCAGTGTTGATCATTTTATGTTATTACTTTCACTCCCTTCAATCGCATTCAATTTCTGTGGGGAAACTCGCGCAAATTGAGGATTTAAAATCCCCTTCCCTCACTTAATTTTTTTCAGCAATTATTTCTGAGAAATTCGACAAAACGTACCAGTGATGAGGGTCTTACTGGCCCCCATTGCCTTAGCGACTAATAAGGAAACGAGACCAATGGGTCCAGCTCCCAGAATCAACACCTTCGATCCAATTGCGACCCCCGCGCGTTTGCACGCGTGAACCCCCACCGACAGGGGCTCCAGGAGCGCGCCCTCCTCGAGGCTCACGTTATCGGGCAATCTGAAAAACGTGTAATGCACTTTTTGAATCCGCTGAGACCGACGATAAAGTCTCATCAACGTGACCTCCACATCATTACTGAGCTCTGATAATCGTAATAACGTCGGTAAATAATGATAAACTACGGGAAGAGAGGATTCACACAACAAATACGTATCTAAAGCATTCTTAATTCATCATAAAGCGAGCAATACCATTTTTTTTTTTCATTTTGAAATCTTCCATCAGTTCGTTCAAAGTTGAAATTGATTGTTAAACTGTTTAATTCATTAAATTCTGGATTTTTTAAATTGTGAAGTAATAAAGAAAAAGCATTTTTAAATCGTTAATGGGATGTTAGGAAATTGAATTTAAGAAGCGCAATAGCTCCCGAATAATTACTTGAAGCAGAAGTCAGCGGCGTGTCGGTAAAATTTCCGAAGACTTCCGTGAACCGGTGGCGTCGCGCAAAAGACCATTTCCGGGCAGAGATTGTACTTCCCCTCTTTGCAGTAGCTGCACATTCTGCAAGGCACGCCGGGTTCAACGGCCACCCGGTCGCCAATCTGCAACCCCAAGTGCATCACAATTTCCACCCGATGAGTCACATCAGTTGTTTAAAATTACCTTCAGGTTCTTGACATTCTTTCCGAGTTTAGCGACAGTCCCCGCAGACTCGTGGCCTATTATCATCGGTGCTTTTACAACGAAGTCACCGATTCGGCCGTTCACCAGGTAGTGGACGTCGGATCCGCAGATTCCGACGCACCCCATCTCCAATAGAACGTCTATTCGAAAATCAATTTTATCCTGATTTTATATTCTTTACTCTTTTATATTTTTGCTATAAAAAATATTTATTTATCTTTTATTCTTTTATATTTTTCTTACAAAAAATACTCTTCCTCTATTTCCGTAAAATATCTTTTATCTCTCGCGGAGAAAGTGAAAGCAGATATCGATTTCACCGGCGAAAAAAAAATTAGATTCCAAAAATCTCACTCTCTCCTTTGAAATTATGTCATCCCATTTCATTTTTCAATTTATCATCGACTTGAGAAACCTCGGAATCAAATTGTTTTCCGAGGAATTATTTTATCTTCATTTTGTTAATTTCTATGACGTAAACAGACGATGCAACTCACCATTATCCCCGGGCTCCTCGATAGCAGTGTTCTCCTGCGATGAGAAAATGTAAAAATAGAAGCATAGCAATAGAATCGGAATTGATGAAAATGAGTGAATAATCTAAATCGTTGCGGGAACTAGCTGCCCTTGAAAATAAGTCGTTTCAGTGTCACTTGTAAGTATTCATTGAATGAACGTCGCCTGATGCCGATGCGACACGTGCGCAGAATTAATGAAGACAAAAAGAAAAATGAAACAATAAAAATTTTAATGATTCTCGTAATTTTCCTCGCAGTCCCCTTAAAAAAATTGATTCCTCCAATTTTCCCCTAATTCAACTTCCAATTGATATTCCTGATGCCGTAATTAACGAACGGATGAGTAATTGATGTAAAAAAATGCACTGACCATTCGAATATCGTTGATTCCATAGAGAACGGCCGTTAGATTATTTCCTGCCATAATCACAATATTTCTCTGCGCGAATGCCAACAGAAAGTCCGAAACACTTGTGATTCTTCGATGTACGGTGAGAGAATGAACAGAGTGGGGCTCGTTTTCCACACCAAACAGACCGCGCAAACACTATCCTTATCGTCGTTGAGTAACACTTGGAATTAAAAATGAGTGATTACAAATCATCAGTTCCACAAGTCTTGCAGTTTTTTTTTAATTGATAACAAAAATCTCTGCGAATAATACTCAACATGTTGTTCATTTAACAATTAATAAACTACAATGGAATTGATTTGATTTTGACTTTTTAAAAAATAATGAGAAAATCTATTCAATTCAACTAAACGATTTCTCTGGTCGTACATAAATTCCAAATTGACAGCGTATTTAAATATTTCAAAAGAAAGAATTTGCCACTGTCATAAAGTCTAAATGAAAAAAATTTATTTCAGAAAAGAATAAAATACAATTTAATGATTAATCGCCCCCCCAGAATCCACAGGTGGACTGTTGAATATTGTCCCTGTTCTCCCGACGAATTCGAGTGGTCGCACTGGCCTCCCCCTTAGCCAGAATCTTCCTAGATTGGGCCTTTTTATTTCTCTTCTGCAGAGCGAGTCTCGCACGCTCCTTTATCACCTCCGGAGGTATTGTAGCCGTGGTAGAGGTGCTCCTGACACTCCTCACATCGTCAATGTCAGAACTATTGACTGCCATCGAGAGATTTATCAATTCTGGGACGACATCCTCCTCTTCGACGTCTCTCTCGATCTCAATTCCATTTTCTTCTTCTGTTATTTTATTCTGTATTTCAATCTCTATGTTATTTCGTGGAGTTTCTGGTGAGAAAGTCTGATGTTGTGAGTGGACATCCTGGTGCTCGTCGAAATTCTCCGGGAGAATCTCTATTTTCTGGTCTTGAAGGGCCTCAGAGTCACTCAGTGCATCCTCGAAGGCTTCGTCCTCCTCCTCGATTCCCATTTCTATCAGCAAATCTTTCTCCATTCGCCTTGTCAGACCACTCGCCTTTATTTCAACATCCACGCAGTCCTCACGACTGAAATAATAATTCAATTCATTCTCATTTATTATTTAATGAGCTAATCCATCAATTCATTCGTCAATGCTCAATTTTTTTGTTGACAATTTGAATGGAAAATCAGTTTAGTTTGAATAGATGAAGAAAATACGTTTATCATTGAAAAAATTTGGAATTGAGAAAACGAATTGTTTTAAAGTGATACTTACGCGAGGTCCTTGAACGATGGGTACAGCTCACTCTCGTACCCAAACCGACGTCTGAAGAAGTCCCTGATGCACTTGACATCCCTCTCGAAGTAATATTCGGCATTAAGGTGCTCAGTGGAAATCATCTGGGGGAAATCTATGACTATCGGTTTTCCTTCGTTCGTGATCATTATGTTGAACTCGTTGAAATCACCATGGATGACTCCATGATTTCCAAATGTCACGATTAGATTCATTAGTTGATCGTAGAGGTCTTCTACATTATCAACTTCATGAACTCCACATCTGGAATAAAATGCAAATGGAAAAACAGTTAAATTTACGTCTTCTTGATTTTTTTTTTCATTTGTTCATCAAGTTTTTATCTACTACTCAAAGTATAAGGAGAAAAACGAATAGAGAATGAAGAGAATATTAAATTTTCTCTTTAAAAATTAAAAAAATGGAAATTAAAAATAGGAATTGAGTTAAATAATGAATTAAAGGATGAAGTAAATTACGTACAGAGGTCCTCCCTCAATTAGTTCCATCACAACGCAGTGTCGATTGAAATCAATGGCCTTGGCCACGGGAAACCCCCTGTCCTCGAGGGCCTTCATGTAAGCAAACTCCCTCGTCGCTGATATCCTCGACAGATACAGCCAGGACATTGACTTCCTGTGTTTGTGGTAGTCCCTCTTCCCCTTGATATTCCTGAAGCACGTCCTCCCCAGTCTGTGCAGTTTCAGACAGACTGGCTTGCCCTCTTCGTTCGCCACAACGTAAATGTTGGATTCCTTTCCAACGCCTATTTGATTTCCAAATGATGAGACTACCCCACGTGCCACCAGGACCTTCAGGGCGAGGTAGTCGTAGCCAGCGTTTGTCAAACGATATCCATCATCTGTAGAATTTAAAATTAATTAATTAATTAATTCATTCATTCATTCTTTCATTAATTGATTAATTCATTCAATCACTTATTAATTAATCTAAAATTAACTGAAATGGTCTAGAATTGTCAGGTTAAACAAGAGACAAAAATTCTTCAAGAAGACGTGCAATTTAATTAATTGAATCGATCAATCAACGACTGTAACTTACAGTGCTTTCCTCGCTCATAACTGACTAATCTGTGTTTGCTCATCTCCTTCAGGAGCTTGTGCACTCCCCCATGACGTAAATTAGCTATTTGTGCTACTAGAGAACCTGGCACCAGCTCGTGATTCTTCATTCCCATTTCGATCTAGAAAACAGAAAATGAATGAGTGAGCATGGAAATGAGAAATGCATCATTAAAAATTGCCAATTGGAGACGACTGAATAAAATGTAGGAATAAATTTGTGAAACTCACAGCTGTCAGCACTCGAAAATCCTCTTTAGTTAAGTAACGCAACATCGTAACGTTGAGTTTCCCCATTCTCTCGTTTTATCCTTCAGTATTTTATGATCAAATGGAACACTGCACTCGATAATTACGAGCTATCTTGATTTTTCCAGTAATTTTGAAGCCTAACACTTGGGATTTCTCTGGTTTTTCTCGTTTTAAGCTCACGTGTGACTGGTAAACATAGAAATAGTGGACCTCACGTGGACTTAACACTAGAAATTGTAGGTTATGTCAGATGAGGTAACTTGAGGGCCTTGAGGGTAGTAGAACGGTAAAAAGCTGTTTTTTGCGATTTTTACAAAAAAAAAAAATTTTGAACATGAAGTATATGAAAAAGTCTTAAAATAGGTATTGAAATGTCAAAAAAGGTGTTTGTAACAGTTGGAACCACAAAATTCGATAAATTAATCGAAACAATAACGAAAGATGAAGTTCTGAAGGTAAAAAAATGCACAAAACCCCTCGAACCCATCGATCAATAAAAATTGATCAATTTCATCCCGTTTATTCCTTCAGGAACTGAGCAGGCGAGGCTACGACCACTTGATCCTCCAGATAGGAGCTTCGACAATAGACCCAAACTGCACTCCTCGTTGTGGAATGAAGAAAGTAGAATTCTTCAGGCTGAAGCCTTCTATCCAGGAGTACATGAGGAGTGCAGATCTCGTGATAAGTCACGCAGGTGCTGGCAGTTGTCTGGAGGCTCTGGAGGCTGGGAGACATCTGATTGTCGTCACTAATGAACTTTTGATGGACAATCATCAGCTGGAACTCGCTGAGCAGTTGGGGAAGGACAATCACTTGTATCATTGCACCTGTGAGGATCTCCTGGAGACCCTGAGGGTCATGGATCTTGGAAGATTGGTGCCTCTAGTTGGGGATAACAGTGAGAAGATTGCTAGGACCATCGATCGATTGATGGGAGTTTAGGAGAAATTATTTCTCCTGATTTTTTTGTAGAATAATTAATATATTGTGGGGCTGTTGGAATAAAAAAAATCGTTTAGCAGAGAATATTTGAGAATAATTACGAAGAGTTCGTGAATTCAATGAATGAATGAATTAATTAATTTTACAATTGAATAAAAACGCCAAATAATGTTTCAAATTATCGATTTATTCTCCTTATCTTCATTCAGCATGACTTACAATAAGCGCATTGTAATAATTAAATAACAGTACATATAAGTATGATCTGTTGACGTTGAGTGATTAAATCTCTGGCAATGTCGAGTGTGAAAGCATACGTCGCTGCGGGAGCTCTTCATTCGCATTTAATATCCCATGATGATTTCCAGTTACTTTCATTAATTATATTATACCACGTAACAGTGAACCTCTGTACAATTTCAACTGTCGTTGATTGCTGAATTTTCTTGTTCAATATTTTTTCTTTAATCGTTGCATTTTGTGTTTTTCAACAGAGAAGACTTAGTTATTAATCAGAGGATACACGACACAAATAACTACATCATTTTACAGAGAGTCTTGGAGTTTTATTTTTTTTATTCATTTGTTAATTGGATTTTCAGTTAGTCATTACTTTGATACGAGTCCAAGACGAGTCATTTCTTTTAGGAGCTCTCGGCCCATTTGTGCTGGACTCCTTGTCACAATTACACCGGCCTGAAATGTAACGAATTAAATTTCAATGGAAAACAATTTAAAGAAAAATTAATCTTCAGAGAATTTAGGTAATTTAGACTAGTTTAAATTTTGCCCTTTGAAAATTTAACTCTTAAAATCATTAGTTTACCTTTTCGAGCGCATTGATTTTATCCTGAGCTCCTCCTTTCCCCCCGGAGATGATGGCACCAGCATGGCCCATCCTGCGACCAGGTGGGGCAGTGATTCCAGCGATGAACGAAACAACTGGTTTAGCTTTTGCTCCCTGAATCAAAGGATAACAACTCGTTACAACCGAATTCCAACGAGTTTCGAATTTATTTAATACGAGGGATTGCTCTTGGTTGGATTTATCCACTGATTATGGAGGGGATGAACGTGGGATTGAGGATACCAATGAGATAATTGTGCTCAACCAACAGTGTTATGTTCAACGAGGTACTCAGCAGCAGACTCCTCAGCACTGCCACCGATCTCTCCGATCATGATGATACCGTCGGTGCCAGGATCCCTCAGAAACACTTCCAGGCAGTCGATGAAGTCTGTACCATTGAAGGGATCCCCACCAATGCCAACACACAGGGACTGGCCCAGTCCAGTCTATGAAAGAATGAGAAAAACATAAGTGAGAGATGAATTGTTCTGAAAATTATTTAATGGATGATTTAATGGAGTTATTCAATAGTAAAAAACATGAGAAAATTTTTTTTATAAATATTTCTTTCAAAGTTTTACAGGAAAAAAATCTCAGTGAATTTTCCCTCGAAATCCTTCATTCCAGATCAATTGGAGATTATCAAAGAATTTAATACTTCTGTGTGAATAAAATCATTTACCAGAGTTGTTTGATTCACAGCCTCGTACGTTAACGTCCCAGACCTTGAAACGATACCAATTTTCCCCTTCTGGTGGATGTGTCCTGGCATGATACCAATTTTACACTGAAACGAATAAAAAAATGAGGTTCAGTAAACGTACTATAATTATTGAAATTATTTGACGTTCAATATTAGTGATTTAATGAATTAATATCTATGAATTATCGATGAATAAATAAAAATGAATTCTCTTCGTGCAAAATTGTAGAACAAAAATCAATGAAATGAAGTGTTTATTTTTTCTGCTGTACCTGTTCTGGCGCAATGATGCCCGGACAATTGGGCCCTATAAGCCTCGACTTATTCTGCTCCAGTAACCGTCTCTTGACCTTGACCATGTCATGCTGAGGAATTCCCTCGGTTATGCAGACAATCAGAGGCATTTCTGCATCGAGTGCCTCCATTATGGCAGCCGCTGCAGCTGGTGGTGGTACGTAAATGACAGAGGCAGTGGCACCTGTTGCCTCCTTCGCCTAGAGCGCAAAAAAAATCATTACTCCTCCCTCGACAATCAGAAGTGAAAATAAAGGGTGAGAATCACCTCCTTCACGGTTTTAAAAACAGGTTTCCCGAGATGTTCAGTTCCAGCTTTTTTCGGACTGACACCCCCCACAACTTTCGTGCCATAGTCAATAGCCTGTTGACAGTGAAAAGTTCCCTGTTTACCAGTGAACCCTTGACAGATGACTTTAGTATTAGAGTCAATCTTCAAGTTTTTCCTTGTCTCCGTATAATTGAATCTAACTTGTGCACTGATGAGGCTGTTTGGTCTCCTAACTGAAAGAGAAAAAGTTTTCATTCATTAAAATTGTAGAATAAAATTGATTTTCTCCAGAATTTTAACAAAAGGAAAAATTAATTCGATATAAATGATTGTAAATTCAGATTCTCTGCGGCAGTTCGAGACCAGAATGAACTATAAAATTTGATAAACAATCCAATACTTAAGAAAGTATGTCACAAAAACTCATTGGGACATGAATGTATTTTTAAATAACAATGTTGGTCACAGCTCCACATCTCATTGAATCGACTTTAGAGACTATTTTGTCAGTGTTTCAAGGGCACCGATGTCCATGGTACACTGTCGTCAGGTATCGAGGTCATGGGCACCGCAAATAGCCATTCAAACTGAGAATCAAAACGCCTGTCACCTGTCGCCCAACAATAGCTATTAATTGGAGTTAATCATTGCCTCGACTTTGCTAACAATAAGACGAGTCTCAAGATGCAGACGATTGTCTGGATGAGACCTGAGTTAATTGATTAATCCAAGGGTAAATAGTCGATGTCTCTGTCCTTTCTTACATAATGAAATGTTTGGGACCGGTCAGGCTCCCATTAACGATAAATTCCCAGCGTTGTTCTGCAGTTCTATATATAGACAGCAAGAATGAAGGGGAAATGAGATGATATGTACTCGACTAATGCAAATACTCAATTGAACGTAAACTCGTGGAGGGTTCAAAGTATTAAAAACACGATTTCATTCACAGATTCTGGGTGTTGAGAATGAGGGAAGAGGGGTTTTATCACTCACCTGAGAGTTTTGCGAGGGCTCTGGCAGCTACAGCCATTTTTTATGTGTTCAGGGTGACTATGAGTGGTTTCAATTTGGGGGGATATTAATTTAGTATTGAATATTTCAACGACTACGACGATTCACCATCAGTACGTCGGCCTATCTACTTCGGGCCAAGGAGGACAAGACCAGGAGAAATGTACGATCGCGGGTGATGGGAGGGATACGAGCTGATGTACTCGATCGATAAAAACGTTTATTTCATTTTCGATCGAGTGAGGAATTTTTTATTCGAATTATTTTTTTTATTAATTCTGTTGGAGAATTTTCGTACCACTTGAGGGATTGTAATTATTATTTCATGTGGAGAATATAGTTTTTAAAAATATGGAAGTCAAAATCAATCGTTTTTTATAAAAATTCTGCGTTAATGACGTCACAAACCCGGAGACGTGAGTCCTCATTGGTCCATTCCGGAGAGTCGTGCAGTCGTTGGTGCAGGCGTGGCCCCAATCAGGCTAGATTGGCATAAACGTTCCCTGTGATTGGTTCATCCTTTGTATCCGTCGTTATCCATTCCGAAACGCTTGAAAGGTCCTTTTTAACGATCAGTTATCAATTAATTAGCGGTTTGTCAAGTATTTTTCATGAAAAGACGTATTTTTTTCCTGAATTTGACAAAAAAAAATCATTTCCGAATGCGGAAAAGATCACTAGTGCCTCTGCTGCCGTTTCCCCCAACGAAAAACCGACGCCACTACTCACTGAATCACGTACCCCATGCCAAAAGCCCAATACTCATTCTTCATTCACCGAAATCGTGAGTTTTTCCGTCCCCTCTAGAGAATTAATTACTCCCCTCGGTAATTTCCACCCACCGTCAGCAATAAAACTGTTAACAACACTCTTGAAGGTTCACGAGACCGACTTACAGAGAATTCCGGGGGAAATAGTGCCACGAGGACGTGAGGAAGCGCAGGATCAAGACGTCTGAGACTAGCCGGAGGATCGACTGGTGGTTGTGGCATTGGCGACACTCTGTTGCGATTATTCGCCAATTCACAGGTCCTTCCTGGGAGGAATAACACGCCGGGTGCCCAGGAGGGCTCAGCGAGCCTCGAGTGCCAGTAAAGTGGGGTTTCAACTGCTGAGGGACGCTGTCCTGGATCCAAGGTGAGCATTATGCAGGTTTTTGGACATTTCCAATGGTATTATGGGGTTCCATCAACAGTTCTAGGCTGCCTCGAACTTTTGTCATCCTGATTATGTTTACGAATGGGTTTTCTCGGTATTGATTGCAAATTTATGATGGCTTTCGCTCATTTTTTGCCCTCGCAGGCGAAAATCTTGCTTGCTCGCTTGAGAATCCTATCTTTGGTTGAGGTGACCTGATTGATTTGACAATGAAGATGACGAGATCTTGGAGCCAGATTTTTAGTTCTTTAATTTATGATTAATCGAAAATGGTAGAGTGGAATTTCTAGATTTTTTATTTCATTGTCAAGGGGTCTTTTAAGCTGTAAAATGAGAGCTCATTCATCTAAATTACATCATTGGGTTGAGAGATATCGACTGTTGAAGACAATTTGTTTTAAAATAAAACTCATTTAAATTTGTGAAAATCAGTGAGCAAATGAAAAATATCACGTTGGGTCACCTCACCAGGCCCCCTTGCAATCAATACCCTCTCGTCTCAGATAAACTGATAACAATGCTTCTATTTTTCATCTTCAAGCTGCTCCTCCAACCCTCCAGTGATCCCTCCTTAACCTCCACCCCAGTCTCCCAAGATTATCTTACTTTGCACGTCCAACAAACAATTCTTTCAGGTTGAACAAACGAAAAAAAATATTGCTCTAGTGCAGTACCACCTAAACAAAAAGTTTACTTAAAATAATCCGAGTAATCGAAGTTATACATTTGCTTGTGTTGTGTTCCTCAAACCAAAAAGTTTTATTCGCAATATCAGCCCAAGTTTACCCGAAAATTCCCCCCATGAACTCCACTGTCGAGGAAGTTTACAAAAAAGTTATCGCCGGAGAAGTTATAAATCCAAATAATGGGAATGCAAAGTCCGCATTCAGTACGTTATGTGAAGAAAACATAAGTTTCAAGTTCAAGTATGAGAATATTCCCCAAGAATTCCCAATCATTCGAATTCCTTCACGATCTAAAAAGAGAAAAGAAAAAGAAAAGAGAGAAAAATCGAGTTTACGTTTGTGTTCGTTTCGAGTACGTAAAAATCCAAAAAGTGAATGGATTTATCGCGTCGGTACCTCAAGAGAGCGAGTACTGCACGAGCACTCTTAACAGAGCCCCCAGGTAAGCCTAAACACCGTCGCAATCTCCGACATAGCGATCTTCGTAGGTATACGATCGCCTAAACTCACAAAAAAAAAAGAAAAAAAAATCAGACTCAAGAATAAAATCGACAAGTCTCCGAGGCTCCCTGCGCGTTTCATGAGCAGAATTTTGTGTTCGCAGGTTGAAAAAAACCTAGTGCAAAAATCATAAAAAATGTCAGACTCGGGTTCTGATAGTTCATCGGAGTACGAGACTCACCGAGGAGGCGTTGCGACGCCGGAAGGCTCTCCGGGGTACAGAAAATCCCGAAAGTCGTCAGTGAGTTCCGTGGGTTCATCGCCCCGAGGTCCGCGATCGCCGCCAGCGTCGCCCCCAGGATCTCCAAAATCGGGTAGTGGCTCCCCACGATCGCCAGGGGCGCCCCAGTCCCCAGGATCGCCCCGCTCTGCGCGCTCCCAAGGCTCCCCCAGGTCCCCAGGATCGCCCCGATCGCCCCGGTCCCGCCACAGCTCCCCAAAGTCGGTCTCAGGCTCCCCAAAATCCCGAAGATCCTCCAACTACCTGGACTCTCGTTCAGAGCGTTCGTCCCCTCCAGGTTCTGCCCCAGGCTCGCCCCCTGGGGAGTCCTCCAAGTCCGAGTCCAAGTCCCCCAGAGGGCCGAGGTCCCCGTCGTCTCCAAAGTCCCCCGCCTCAGCCAGGAGCTCCCCGAAGTCTCTCCTGTCAGGCCGTTCCTCCCCAAAGTCCTTCAAATCCGGTCGGGGATCGGCCCCGGACGAGGGCGAACTCGACGAGTCCCCGGCGAAGCCGAAATCCCCTCGGGAGAAGTCCAACTCCTTCAACGAACTCGATGGGGAACAGATATCCGACGGCGACATTGAGGACGAGCCCGAGCCCCTGAAGGCGAAGCCAGCGCCGATGACCCACGGGGAGGACCTCTCCGACGTCTCGGACCTCGACAGCATGGACGGGGTGGACGAGCCCGAGGACAACCCCCAGGACAACGAGGAGCCGAAGAGTCCCGATGAGAAGGGGAAGGCGGGGAAGGACGAGAAAGTTGCGTCTGTGAGCATCGCCGAGGAGACTGAGCAGCTGGACTTCGAGGCTGACGGCCAGTGGAAGGACGAGAGGGAGGAGGGGGAGGCCGAGGCCCCGAAGGAGTCCAAGGAGAAAGAGAAGGAGAAGGAGAGAGAGAGGGACAGGGACCTGAAGGAGAAGGAGAAGGAGAACGACAAGAGGGAGTCCGGGGAGATTGTGGACGACGAGCCTGTGGAGGACGGCGAGAAGGTGGAATCAGAGCTCGAGGAGGGGGAGCTCAGCGACGGAGACGATGCCAGACCCGAGGAGACCGAGCCCAGACCCGTCTGCAGGTTCTACAACAGGGGACAGTGCACCTGGGGCGTCAGCTGCAGGTTCCTCCACCCCGGCGTCACTGACAAGGGAAACTACACGATGTTCGATATGGTCAGGCCCATGGCGTACCCCCCACACGCTTCCAGTGCTACTCATGAGTTCAGACCGCTCATGGAGAGACCCAGCTTGATAAGACCGCTGACGGGGTATCCAGCTCCCCATCATCCGCCCAAGGGGGAGGATCTCCCAGCTGAGAGCGCCTGGGAGAGGGGCCTCAGGCATGCCAAGGAGATGATGAGGAAGGCCAACAAGAGGAAAGAGTCCGATATGGACTTCGAGGAGAAGAAGATGAATTTGAGCCTGGGCCAGGACGAGATGGATCGCGAGGCTGGGTATTACGTGAAACCCGCCAGTCCGGAACCACCGGCTGAGAGGTGGCCGCCCAGGGAGGGACCCCGGAGGGTTCCACCCCACAGAATCACTCCAGAGAGGTATGGCTCACGAAATTGATTAATTAAGGATTTTTGAAGATAATAGAACAGGGAAAAAAAAATTTACTTTCGTTTTTTTCATTTTATTATTTTTTTTTATGGCGAAAAAGTGGGAAGTTGAAGCAAAAAATTGAGTTAATCCCATAAAGATTCATCAATTGATGAATCAGAAATTTTTAAAGATGATAGAACAGGTGAAAAAAAAATTTTCATTTTGTTATTATTTGTTGTTGTTTTTTAATGAAAAAAATTGTGCAGTCAGTATCAGTTTATCTATTTTCTTGAAGATATGACGAAGCCGACGGTTACTACCCACCCCCCAACCACCCGGGCCCGCCCTCAGAGTACTACAGAAGAGTTCAGTACAAGTCTGAGCCCCGTCCAGGCCCAGAGTACAGAGAACGAGTGGATTATCCTCCACCCCCGCGTGGGCCTGCTCACTCAGTATCGCCTCCACCTTACCCCAGAGAGAGGGAACGCGAGAGGGGTAGAGAGCACGAGTACTACGAGAAGTACGAGAAGAAGCACAAGAGACCTTCCAGGGAAGTAATCGTCGAGAGAATTCCAGTGGCCAAGACCTGGAGGGAGGAGGACCCACCGGCGCCAGAGAGAGGTCGCGGGGACGAGTGGGCCGACCCCTGGATGAGGAGAAAATCTCCGAGTGCTGTTAGAAAAAGCTCTGGCTCTTCCAGAAGGCCCAGGAGGCAGTCCTACTCCTCTGGATCCTCATACACAAGCACAAGGTAAAATTAATCATTGAAAAATCCTTAAACAATTTTTTTTCCAATTATAAATCTACAAATAATAATTTATTATCGATTATTTCTTGAACTGATCGTTTAAAATTTTCCCTGCATTTTTAAATTGAATAGTTGGAAGAATTATCGTTCCCTAGAACTTCATAGGAAGAAATGTTTTCGAAAAAAAAAAATCTGTCGATCTTTCAACTGCTAAAAAAAATGTTTTAGCTCCAGCAGAAGTTCAAGTCGCTCTAGTTACTCCTCTTATGAATCCCCCTCCAGGTCCCGCTCCCCATCCCCCTCGTCTCGTCGTGCTCGTGCCAAAGGTAAACATCCCCCTCCCTCCCCACCCCCAGTGAACACGACATCTCAACCGAGAGGCGTGATGGTGATGAATCCACCGGCCCCATTGCCCTGGGGAACGAAAGACTCGATTTCCCCCACTGGTACAGCGCACAGACGAGCTGGACTCAATCCACCAGCACCAAGTCCACTGATGTCACATCGTCATCACGAGAAAACGAGGGATAAGGCTGCATTGGCCGCTGCTGTTGCTAAAGTCATCAAGAGTCGTTCTAGATCTAGGTGAATGATTTTTTTTTATATTTCCATTTATTTACTTTTTTCTCATTTATTTTATTTATTGTTACGCCTTAACTTAATCATTATGTTTTTAGCTTTTTCAATTTTTTTCTAATTACTCCTTTCCTATTTGAAAAACAGAATAAATTCTGAATGAAATTGATTCTAATTTAGTAGAATGAAGGCATAATTTCCTCACATTTCATGACATTCTGCACGAAATAAATATCATTGATGGACAATTAATTTTATTGATTAATAATGAGAACATAATTCTCAAACATCAATTATAATAATTTCTTCATTTGACAGATCGTCCCACAGTAGTAGTGGATCAGAGAGCTCAGGAAGTAGCAGTGACTCCAGTGAGTCCAGCTACTCCTCAAGCTCGTCCGTGGAATTACGAAGGAGAAAAGCAGCGTCTCCATCCCGCAAGGACTCTTCCAAGGCATCGGACCCCCCTAAAGTCTCCACCTCGAAGCAGCAGGTGAAGCAGAAAGTCTCCACGACCCCCGTGAAGAAGGCAGACCGCAGTGCCACCCTGGCCGGGAAGAAACGGCCCCTGGAGTCGTCTCCCATCTCAGACAGCAAAGCAAGCGTTGCTGCAGCAGCTGCCAAAGCTGCCAAGAAGGCGAGCTCAAGGCGAGAGGAGCTCCTTAAGCAATTGAAAGCTGTCGAGGACGCGATCGCACGCAAGCGGTCAAAGGTTTAATTTTTCTCGAGGAAAATAAAGCGATTAAACGAATTATAAAAAATATGATAAGCCTTCGGTGACGTATTTAGGATATCCTAGGAGTTAAATAAAGAGTAATTTGTTTTTAACTCGCTGTGTCAGTTGTGCATTGACATGATTCAGACGATTTCAGTTGAAGATAATACGAGAAAAAAATTATTCATTGATTTTTCATTTGAATAAAATTAGTATCAAGAATTCAAGTTCAATGAGAGGGAAAAGATTTTTGGGCGATGTACAAAAGTATATTTTTTTCTTTTCATCTTCTGTTAGTCTCAAACATACAACCGTGCGACTTAATCCGTAAGTTAATAATATTAATACTGCCTATTAAAGGAGAAATAATTTTGTTTTCTGTACATGAAAAAATTATAAAAATCGTTCGTTCTAAAGTGAAGAGATAAGTACCTCATTTTTCACAGGTTTTCGTAAATAAATAATGATTAATAAAGACCTTCCGAATATTCCAATTATCTCTACAATTCTCAAGGTTACTTTGTCAACGTCCATTTCGTTCATTCTGTTGAATAAAAAAATTAATGATCAGTGCAGTTAGAGGGATCAAATTGAGATAGCAGTGGCCCTGACAGCAGCACTGAGGAGAGGATTGGGGTCGGGTTCCTCGGTTAAAATGATGACTTTGGTCCACTCTCGGCGTTTGTTGCTCTGCCTCAGGGCATCTATGACAGCCTGAATGTAGAGGCCGTCTTCGAAGGTCGCTGCTTGGGAGACAGGCTCCTTGATCCATCCCCTCTTGTCCTCCACAGGCTGGAAGGCCTCTCTGAGGGCTCCAATCATCTTCTTCAAGCCTTTGACGTAGGGCCTGGGTATCGAGTCCTTGACAGCTGGAAAATTCTCCTGGAGATTCTCCATGTCTCTGTAGAGCACCTCCTCCTGACCATTCCTGCATCCATGGAGATCCCCTCCTCTCACCACCAGGTGTCCACTAGTCCCACAGATCAAGACCTCTTGAGTCAATTGCCCCTGGAGATGATTGCTGAGGGTTGCTGTCACCAAGGCACCTCCTGTCAACTCCATCTGGAAGCAGCAGAAGTCCGGAGATGTCACTCGACGAATTCCGTTGATGTTCTTCGTCGTCTGGGTGAAGGTTTTCACCACTGCGTGGACTCTCGAGGCTTTCTGATTGATCAGGTGGAAGATCAAGTCTATTACGTGACTCCCCACGAGGGCTAGGATTCCGCCACCCATTGTGTCATCGCAGAGCCAGTCATATCCTTTGAAAACAAAAATAAAATTTCTACAGCTGCAAAAAAATTGTCGCACTCGTTTGGCAATATCTCTTGAACAAACGATGCAATTTGAATGAGTCAGGACTCATTTTAAAGCTTCAAAAAATATCTTCAAAATGAAAAAAAAATCTCGAATTTCACTCTGCCAATCTCGAGTTATTGACGATTGAAAATATTGCATTTGGGCCTTTTAAAAATAAAATAGCCTGGAACCAATGCGAATGATACAGTTTCTCAAAAAAATGTAAAATTAGAATTTAAAACAGGTATCAATTATCGTATACGAAGGAGAACAATCAACTAAGCTAAAAAGGAGTGTATATTCACCTATTTGGTTGTAAATAACCCATTGTAGGGGTGGATACATAAATAAAAATAAAATAAAATACGAACCATTTCGCAATAAACTCCCCATCTGCACCCTGATGTCAACAATGGTAACAGGGCCCCCCAGGTATCCATCCTCGAGAGCGCTTTTCATCCTGACGAACGCAGGGAGAAACCTCAGACTGTGATTGACGATGCTGATCAACGAGGGATAGTACTGAGCAGCTCTGACCATCTTCAGAGCCTCACTCTGGCTCAGCCCAGCTGGTTTATCACACACCACGTGCTTGCCGATCCCCAGGGCCTTGACGGAAATTTGCGCCTGCAGACTGGGGGAGCACATGATGAAGATGAGGTCGACGTCCTTTCTGAGGAGCACGTCGTCGATCCTGCTGGTGTGGAAGGGAATCTCCAGGTCTTTGGCGACTTCTGCTGCCTCCGCCAGGGTCCTGCCCCATACTGCCTCGATCTTGAACCCCTTCTCACGGAGAAAGGGCACTATCACACGAACTACACTTCCTGTGCCGAATAATCCAATTCCTGGCAGCATTTTTGGGGGACTCTGCATGGAATTGAGTGAAATTTAGAGACTAGGTTTTTTACTTTTGTGGGTTCATTATTTTATTGCTGTTCTGGGAATTGGGAAGAGAAGGAAGAGAATTTTTTTTTTAATAGAGTTAATAATTAATAATAAATATGGAATGTCCAGGTATTGATTGAATAACGAAAGTTATAAAATAATAGTTGAAAAATATCAATCTTCATTCTCTTCCTTTCACTGCTAATTTGAAAATTGTTTTTTCCAATTTTTTTTTTTTTGAGGGGGAGAAAATGAGTGAATTGCGTTTGTTTTATGCAAAAAAGGGCTAGAACTCACGTGTTTCCACAACTTGACCTAAATTTTTGACAGATTGAGAATTCCCAGCGTCATTTTTTGGGTTTTCCCACACCTGCACTCAAAAAAACATAAATTATCAAATCCTCAGGCACGCAAACAATTTCATTCCACAAATCTCATTCACGAATATTTTTCCATTCTTCCACTCCGGAAAATCCCGTTTGTTATTCACTTTTCAGATTTTTATTTATAGACAAACTCTGAGTCACCTGAAGCTAGCGGCGGAAACGAAACGTTGACTTCACATTCAACTTCAGACGTTCCAAATTTTCATTTCAGTAAAAAATGTTCTGCAGTGTCGAGTAAAAAAACAGAAAAAAAAACATGATAAATTGTTAAATTGAAATTTTTTTGAAATGTTGAAAAAAAAATTGAAATGAAAATTTCTGTTTATCTGCAGTGGATCAGCGGCTGTCGTTCTGACTGTTGACAAGGCAATTTCCTGAAGTATCGTCCCGCTTCTCTGTCTATTACTCTCCCCTCTCGCTCCAAACAACAAAACCGTTGGGAGAATAATTAAAAACGAGTGATTACTTCCCAAATAGAACGAACGCTATCATATCTCCTCTAAAATCGTTCGATTCTCTAAAAATAATCAAGAAAAAACCGAAGATTGTGAACGGAAATTCGTGAAGAAGAGTGCATCATTATTCATAGAGTGAGGGATTCGGTTTTCTGAGGTCGGCAGAGGCCATTCGCGGCTCAGTTTACAGTCGTGCGCGCGCGTAAACGAGAAAAAAACATTCCGAGACCTGTGGAACAATGAACAAAGAGCAACGGCATTCCCAAAACTAAACGTGTGCGTCGTGTTGTTTGTCGAGTGAAAATATATTCTTGTGATTTTTTGATGAAGTAAAGGGACACATTGATGGCAATGGAGGATCCTAATGACGAAAAGCCGGAGGTGAGTAGCGATTTTTGCCACTAGAATACGTAGACTCGACCGTTTTTGAGGTTTTGGCAAAATTTTTGCTGCTTCGGGGTCTCGATTCTTTCTTTATGGGATACATTTATTTTTTTTTCGGTGGAAAAATGATGGAAAATCGAATATCTAGCCTCGAGATTCGTAGATGTAGCGAGTTCACTGACATTTTTGACTTGAGAAAGAATTAAAATGCGATTTTATTGTCAATAAATGTAAGAAAACAAGAATTCTTCGAGAAAAAATGACAAGGACCTAACCCTTGGCACTAAATTCTAAATTGGACCCCGACGATCTCCAGTACCTCAAACTAGCCATTCTCCATTCCTCCTCACGCCTCTTCAAATCCCTGACCTCTTGACGAAACAAAATTTCTAAATTTATTAATAATAAATTCCCTCAATAAAATAATAGGAGAGGGTGAGGTAAAATGGACACTTTCAACTTCTTTTCTAATGTTTATAACTCGGGAATAAATTCATCAACTAAACTCAAAATTATCCCATTTCATAAACAATTCAATGAGTAATTTTTCAATAATGGTGTTGGAAAAATTGGCCTAGACGGGCTCCCGCAATTTCACAGGTTCAATAAAAAGTTAAAAGGATTTTTTGTCGACGTGTGGCATCGACAAAAAATCAAAATAATTCAATGAGTCCTTACCATTTTAAAAAAGTCACAAGTGTCCCCCCGGCGCAAATATTCTTCAACCCAAAGATTACTCCTGAGAAGAAGAGTTCTCAAAGAAGTTCTGAATTATTTAGAACACATCACGGGACCCCGCGCCCTCCTCTGCTGCTCCACTCCCCAAAAACGGGACTTCCCCTGATTCCACAAATTACGAGATGAATGGAGACCCCCCGTCGCCAAATGAGGCGAAAGTACAGGCCTCTGTAACCGATGAAAATGCGAAAATCCCACCCCCAAGTCCGGGAAGACGTTCGGGGGAAGTAAAGAAGCCCGTGACGCAGGTCAAATGTCCCAGAGTCCCCTCGGTCCCTCGTCCACCGTCCTCGGGGACCCCAAAAGTCTTCGTTCGGCTGAAGCCCTCGCCGAAGGGAGTGAAGCTCAGGAGAGAGCCCCAGCGGTACTGCGTGGTGAGCCCATCCCTTTTCCTCAACCTGAGTGACGTCGACCAGGACCCGAGCACGAACGTCGATGTCGTGGAGAAGAGGTTCGTCTTCTCCGAAGCCTTCGGTGACGACGACGACCAGATGAAGCTGTTCGACCGAGTGGTGGAGCCCCAGATGCTGGAGTACTTCAACGGAGCTGACTGCACAGTCATGACGTACGGCACACCCCAATCAGGAAAGTCTCACACCCTCGTCGGATCGCCGCGAGACCCCGGACTAATCCCAAGAACCTTAGAATACATTTTCTCCCTGGAGAAGCCCACGCGAGTCCCCAACTACAAACCCAGTGACAGCACCATCTCCTGCCTGACGCTGATCGAGAGGTTCGAAGAGCTCGACACTCGAAGGGAATTCCTCTCGCCCCAGTCCCAGGAGGAGATGGACCTGTACGCCGACAAGACCCACGTCCCCCAGAAGGGCTGCGAGCTCTGGGTGTCGTTCGCAGAGCTTCGAGACGAGGCGTACTTCGATCTGCTGTCCCCCAACTACCTCCAGGTCCACTCCCCCCTGATCCTGGAGACCGATCTGAAGGGTAAAACGTACATCAGAGGCCTCACACACCTGTCTGTGGGGTCAGCCCCAGAGGCCTGCGATGTTCTCGCCTTCGGACGGGACAGGCTCCTCCAGTGGAGTTCATCGATGAAGACGACAGCCTCGCAATCCCACAGCATCTTCACAGTCACCCTGCTGAGGTACCGAGGGTGGGACGATGCGGGGTCAGTGCAGACGAGCAGGTTCTCCTTCTGCGACTTGGCAGGCCACACGTCCCCGAAGTTGGACTCGAGCCTCTTGGCCGTCCTCAGGTGCCTGGAGTCCACCAAAGAGCGTCACCCCCCCAAGGCCACCGAGTGCTTCTGCCCCTCGAGCCTGACGAGCCTCTTCTCAGACGCTTTCACCAGGAAAACCCCCCTCTCCGTTATCCTCACGGTCGACCCCAGCCCCAAAGTCTACAAAGAAACGCACACGATCCTCCACTGGGCCTCGAGCTTCAGTGAAGTTCACACGAAAATAAGGAGGCCCTACCCCTCTTCCGAGGCTACCACGACCTTCGGAAAGATCGCTGAGACTCCCCAGAAGACCGTCGACTGGGAGGACTTGACAGCAGAGAAGCTGATGGAGCTCTCAGGGCAGTTCCAGAACGAAATAGAGGAGCTGAAGGCCCGGAACCTCGTGAGCGACGTCCAGGCTCGCCAGAGGAGCGTCAGCAGGTACGCCCTGATGATCAAGAGGATCGAGAACTCGTACAAGAGGAAGTCGGAGGCAGAGTCCCATTCTGAGAACGTTGAGGGGCTGAAGGCAATCTCCCAGAGACTTCGGTCGCAGAAGCAGCTGCTGGAGCGAGAGCTCGTCGTCTGCCAGGGGAAGTTGGCGGACGTTCCTCCGGAATTGTGTGGAGCCGATGAATCGAGGAATCCGCATGTAACTCTTCTGGACGAGATCCTCGCGGAGAGAGACGCCAGGGGCAGAAACGAGAACCTCATCAAGATGCTGAAGGAGGCGAGGGCGGAGTACTTGAGGGTGACTGGGGACACTAGGGAGAAGGAGAGGAAGATTGGGGAGATTGAGAGGAAGACTCTGGCGTTGAGGTTGGATCGGGACTGTGAGTTGACGAACCAGAAGATCGTTAATGAGGCTTTGAGGGAGAAAATGGGGGTCGTGGTTATTATGGAGGGGAGACTGCAGAGGGATAAGAAGTACTGTAGGAGGTATCTGGAAGAGATGAGTCAGAAATTTGGGGGTGTGAGGGCTCTGTCGGTGGAGGGAAGCCCTGGGGGTGCTGGAGGGAAGGAGGAATCGAGGGAGTTGGGAGAAATTGAGGCTTCTTTGGGGTTAAATACTTCTGCTGCAGACGAAGTCTCTCCTGGGACAGCTCCAGTGGATTTTCCTCTCCCTGAGGGGAAAGTGGAGTCTCAGACTGAATCAGGAGAAATTGAGGAGATGGAAAAGGAGACACAATTCGTCGGAGGTTCTTTGGATGAAAGCGTGATGAGCAGTTACTCTGAGGGTGGAGTGATGGGGGCTTCTGAGGAGAGAGGACCTTCCCATCTTGAAACTTCAGCTGTTGATGAAAGTGTTCTGGTAAAAAGTATTGAAATTCCTGCACCTGAGGGTCCTCCTTCAGACCTCGATGGTCCTCAACTTCCAACAGGTCATCTTCAGGTGAATAATAATTCCACGAGCACTTTGACGCCCTTGCAATCAGAGTTTGTGGATGAAGATCCCTCTGCTGGTGGCAGTGAAGAGCTGGGGATTGAGGCGAACGTCCTCTTGTGTTCACCTTCAGCACCTGCAGTCTCTTCAGTGAGGGAGACTTCTCCAATTGTGTCTTCAGAGCCCACGATGCAGGTGACTGAAGCAGAAGTTGTTGATTCGCTTGAGGCGGCTACTGATCACGAAGCTTCTAGTCTTGAAAACCAATTTTTGTGTGAAACTAACGATCTTCCTCTTCTGGTAGCTGCGATGACCCTCGCCGATCACGACTATGCTGCAATCCCTCCAGGGGCTCAATACATAGTGCCCCCACTTGATGACATTTTTATCAACACTTCGATCATTTCGGAATCACAGAATGATGGGGCTTCAGCAGTCGTTGAGATGAATTCCAATGGCATTAGTGTCGTTGAAGAGCAGAAGGATGACGTTGAGAATCAGGAGACTTCACCTTCGAGCTTCCAAGTCCAGTCTCCAGGAAGTCCTCTTGCACCTGGAATTTTAGGATCCTCAGAGACTCAAGTGACAGTTTCTGAATCAAAAATAATTGATTCAAACAATCCTGAAGCAGTTGTTCATGAAAATAGAACTCTTGAACCTCAACATCATGTGATTACTCCCCCGGTGTCTCCATCCACGAATCCCCCAGTCCAGAATGAAGTTCCAACTGTCCTCGAGGAAGATTCCAATGTGATGGAACCTGTGGATAACTTATCACAGTTCGTCATGAGTGAGGAAGACCAGGCGTGTTCGCCTTCGACCTGTGAAGCCCCTTCTTCACGAATAATTGATGATACAATCGTCTCTGGGGCGGTGATAAACCCCGAGTCATTGAATGGGACATCCCCGAATGCTGAAGGCATCGATGCACTGGTAAGAAAAATAATTATTCTCAAACAACTCCTATTTGCAAGTGTCAAACATTTCGTGGTAAATATGTAGTTTGAAATGAAACAGTTTTGCATTTTGAAATAAAACAATTCATATCGTATTATTTTAAAAAACAATTCATATTGTTCTCAATTCATATTGTTTTATTCCAAAAAATATTGTTACTGCAATAATTTCTTGATAATCATCATCACAAAAATATTCCATTGATTTAAGCAACTGCTGACAATTAAAAATTCTTATTCCCTTCAGCCCCAGGGCTCAACTGAGCCAGAGGAGGATTCAACGAGAAGGAGCACTCGAAAGCGTCCTGGAACCCCCGTAATCCCATCATCAGTGAAACATTCCAAGCAAAATCCCCCAACAGTAAGTCCTGACGAAACTAATACCGATGAATCTCGATTCGTCTGCAGAATGTTCTAATTAATATGGAAAATGTTATGAGAAGCCATCGAGACGAGGCACTAGGCGTCCAGCAACCCCAAACATTCCATCACTCAGAGAGTCTGTAGAGCCAGAAAAGTCAGTGGTAATTTGTAACAAGTGTGGGGGGACTATCACAGATGGACGTCGATTCCGTTCAAAGAACTGCGGAAAGTGTTCTTCAGTGAATACACCGAGACGAAGCGCTCGAAGGCGTCCTGGAACCCCGACCATTGCTACAGAGGATCATCTCGATCCTGAACTCCCGCTGGTGACCTGCGACCACTGCTTCAAGCGAATCACTGATAAATACAGATTCCACTGCAAGACGTGCAATGATGGAAACTTCGATTTGTGCAAGGCCTGCTATTCTGAGGTCAGTCATAAGCATGAAGTCAAAATGGTTCCAACTATTCCTGAGGAATATATTCAAGGACGACTTGCGATCTGACACCGAGGCACGATGAGTATTTTTTTTTTGTTAAAGCTCGATTCTATTTTTCTTACAGATAAGAGAGAGTTTTGAAAAGTTTTCTTTTTTTTTTTTTTTCAATTTAATGAGGTATTTGGTATGTCGAGGGGTTGGTCAGGACTTCTGCTGTTCACAAATTGCAAATGATTATTTTTTCTTTTTTTTTTTAAAGAAGAGGCTTGTTGAAAAAAATTATTTCATCTCTTCAAAAATTTAATGAGTTATTGATATTAAAAAAACAGAAAGTCTTAGTTTTGTCCTGTGGGATGACGAGGGGTTTTCATTTTCTTTCTTCAAAGAAGAGGAATCATTGAAAAAAAATTCATCTCCGAAAATTGAGTAAGTCATTGATATTTTAAAAACCATCGAAAATCACAGTTGTGCCAAGGAATCTATTCTTTCATTTACTTCGTGTTTTACGAATATTATTACTTAAATTTTCGATTAAGGCATTACACACAAAGTTTAGGAATTGCATCTGTCCAATTTTCTATTGCTGAGCAATGGAACGATTTTCCAGCATTCGACGAATGTTATTTTCTATGTACTAAGATACATATTTTCTCATTCAATTTTGACGACAGTTTGACAATGTTATAGTTTATATCAATATTATAGTATCGATTATTGCAGTTTTTATTTTGTGACATTAAAAGAGTGTGAACAACGACTTGAGGTTGTGTTATTTTAATCTTCCACTCGATCAATGAGAAACAACTCCAAAAAACATATCGAAACACAAAATTCGTATTTCCCGCTGGACCCCCCGCCCTCCGCTTAATTCCAAACGCATTCCAAACGCGTCACAAGCCCCTCCATTCCCCATTGCGACGCACAGCTATTAATAACGCCCAAGGAGAGAGTGTGGTTTTTCCCCAAGACACGTAATCACGAGTGCAAAGGCGCACAAAGTGGAAAAAAACAGTGATAAGTGTCTCAAAATTCGTCAGAAACTCTTCGAGAACACTCGTTTTCTCAAGTAATCTCAACGTTTTCAATAAAACTCCAAAAAGTCTCCACGTCTGCGTCATTGGAAGGTGAGTTAACCCCTCAGAATCGTTCGAGAAACATCTTGTGGCATTTGGACGAAGTCATTGTGACGAAATCATTAACATTTGCGCTATTTTTTCAACAGGAAGTCCATAAAAATTCAAGGAAACAAATACGTTATCAAAATAAGTTGGAAAAGTCAACATATCTTCAACGTATCTTCGACGTTTCCACCAGATTTTCACTGCAGGGTCGTTAAAAAAGTGAGTAAACCCTCCAAAATTATTCTAGTCACATTAAAATTTCTTTTCCCTTTGAAAAATTGTATTTCAATTGTTTTCATTGAGAAATCAACATTTCGAAAATGAAAACCTGTAGCCTGAAATTAGATTTCTGAAGGAGAACGGGATTTAGTTGGACTGTAAAACAATTTAGAGCGGAAATAGAAATGAATAAGATAAAACAAAAATTATGAACACAAATTGACTGAAATTCCCTCGAAATAATCAACATTCTCTTTATTTTTCCAACAGAAAGAGACGTTAGAATCACCGAAAAAACGCCCTCAGGACATTTTTCCACCCATTCATATGAAGAACGAAATGGGAGCGTCATATCGTCCACTAGAGCACGTCCAAAGAGTAGGAACGACAGAGCAGTTATCAGACTGGATCACTCAGGTGCGTTCGAAGCGCATAAAATACCTCCGGAATCGTCGACGCAACATTCGGGTGGAGGCAGTTCTGACTTACGCCCTCACCCAAGCTGAGCAGATACTGCGAACCAAGCAGATAGCTAAAATCACCAAGTGGCAGCAAATTAAACACAAAATGGTACAGCGAATAAAATCTAATGATGAAAATGAAAGTAGAATAGTCAGCATAAGTGACAGTAGATCTAATCCTAAGAATATTTGGACAGATGCATCGTACCCTGAGTTGAGCAGTTTGGATAGCTTTATGACGCAGCTGAGTAAGGTCAAGGTCGAGCAACGATGAAACTTGTTCATTTTATTCAACTGTGCACAATGTTAATGTTCTTTTCTTTAAGAAGACGATTTACTGGCCTTTGGGGTCTCGAGAGCGTCTTCAGGCGACTGAAGGGAGAGAGTACAGTGGGTCACGAGGCATCTGGGGATGAGGGTGACCTGACTGGGGATTTTTTACTCTCGTGATATCAGATTTCATTATTTCGGTAAATCGAGCATTTCGGTGGACAAGGAGACTGTTTTTTTGTTGAGATTAGTTTTGTTGGATATTTCTTGAGACGAGATAATTGGCATTATCAAAGAATTTTCAAGTTCCAAGGGAAAATGTCAATAGGCATTTTTGTAAGGATTCAATTTTCAACAAAAAATGATGCTTTGACATTTTTTAATGAAAGAAAACGAAAATTCTTGGAAATTCTTGTTCCTAAAAACAATTATTTCAAGAATAATTTGCGAAAAATGTCGCATCAACTAGATAATTGAGTAATGGAGACTGTTGAACCACCGAAATGCTATTTTGTTCACTGGCATTAGACGTTTTACAGGAAATTGACTGGGAGGTTTACGATCTTTATCAATTGCAGTCTCAACCGATGAGATGATGCCGAGGATATCCGTGGTTACCAGGATACTACGTGATATCACTAACACTTGGCCGGTGAAAAATCAACGCGTGGGTTATGAGTGGCAATGTATCGTTTAAGTATTTGATTCACATTGAATTCATTGATTATCTGTAAATAATTGACAAATGTATTATAGGTGAAACAGGGAGAGCATTGTAAGGTTTATTCCATGAATAAAACAAACTTTGGAGATGTTAAGTGTCTGTTGAACTGTCAATTCGATGATTAATTCGTATATAATCGTTTCAGCGTTAGACGAGGAGAATTAATCTGTGATTGATGAGGAGGAGAATGAACGGGGGAATATTTTTAGGGTTTTTCTTGATGATGACGATCATGGAACCTCAAAGTCAGGTAATTTTATGTTTATAAAATTAATCACCACTGGATTTGTATTAATTTTGTTATGAAACAGTCGAAATTGGATTATATGAGTAAATTTTTCAGTTACAAAGAATATATATTCTTGTTAATGAGAGGAACTGGGGAATATTTTTAGGGTTTTATTGACAAAGAGAATGGAAACTCAAAGTCAGGTAATTTTACGTTTATTTATAATTACAATCTTTGAAAAATTAACACTGGATTTACATTCATTTTAATATGAAACGCACCTGAAAAGAAGAAATGATAATTTAATTAGTGGAAATTGAATAATGTGAGGAGCAGATTTAGAGGGAAATATCAGGAGACATTTTCTGCAGTAAATTTTTCGGCTACAAAAAATATCATGTCTTGTTAACTGAGGATTGATAAGTCATGAGAATGAAGATTTAGAATGGGAAGTGACTCACTATCCTGTTCGAAGCATTTTCGCTTCTTTGGCTGCCTGCAACGCTTGTTTCTGCTCCTCAACAATGGCCTCCCGTTCCTTCAGGAACACAGCGTACTCGTCAGGATCTATTTCCCGAACGATTTTAATGCCACAGGTTCTAGCAATGCCCACGAGCATCTGAGTGATCTGCTGAAGAGTTAGCAGGGTCAAAGGTGGATCTTGGGATTTTATTTTTGCGATTTCGTAGAGGTGCCTCAGCGTCACTTTCCCAGCGACTTCGTTGCCTGAGCGACATCAGAAATAAAAGAAATTGAAGATTTATCCAGAAAATCTGTTGATTCAGACATTCAGAGGTAAAACTGTAAATCTAGGAATTTTTTGTCCTTCATTTTCACCAGATTCGTGATTTTATTCACCTGAATTCATGGCTCCTCGCTGGATCCCTGCTGCCTGCTTCAGGAAATACGTCGCTGGGGGCTGGTGAATAACCATGTCATACGTTCTGTCTGGATGCACCTTCACCCTCACTGGTAATGGAATTCCTTCCTTGATGTTTGCAGTTCTTTCGTTGAAGTCTTTTATGAAATTCCCTATGTTTATGTTTCTCTGCAGCAATAAAGAGTATGAATTTAATAATAATTGGCGTGATCTTTAATTGAATAATAACCTGACGACAACCTTCAATATTTCCTCTACTTATTAAAGGTGGTTTCTATTTTATTGAAAACAGAAAATAATGGACAATATCAATTTCCAAAAACGATCGGAATATTTCGGAATTATCTTCCAAACGACGAAGTTTATCGAAAAATGTCATAATACATTCTTTGTAGAGAATTTCAAGAGCTACAAAAAGTATCTTCTGACATTTTTCTCTAAACCTAATAGTTTTGAAGGTATTTCAAAAAAACAAAAAAAATTCACTCTAAGTAATTTTCGAACTCATTCAATTAAGAGTAAATAATTAGATAATTTTTTCAATCATCTTAGGAGTATGAGGTTTATAGAAAAAAATGATGAGAGATCGTTTTCAGCCCTTGACACCTCCTAATTCACATCCATGCGAATGAAAAAAACTCGTGACAATATTCAAATAAACTTTTATCATGAGAATGAATAAATGTCAGTAAATTACGAAACAATTAAAAGTGAAAAATAGAATGAAAGCGGATCTAACCTGTCCCAGTTGAGGTCCAAGAGGTGGATTAGGGGCAGCTAAACCCGCGAGGATGTTCGTCCTCAACTTCCTGCTGTGATCAACTTTCTCTGTCGACTTGAGCGCAGCCTTGAAACGTCCTACTGTCTTCGACATCTTCCCTTATTTATTTATCCTTCAATTTAACAATCCCTCGACTCATTCAAAACATCCGTCTCGCACTCGTGGGCTAGAATTAAAATACCCGTCGATAATGCAGAGATTGCGTCTGAGAAAAACGCGGAGATTTCAAAAAAATCGGGAGCCGAACGTTCTTCAGTTCTCGATATCTCCAGAACGAATGATGTGATTGGGGTCAGTCTGAGCTCATTTTTAAGATGAAAAAAAAATCTTCAAAATGAAGGAAAAATTGCCGATTTTCATTCAGCCAATCCCGAGCTATCGGCACTTGAATAAATCGGGGGCTTCAGCCGATTTGCAGAAAATTTTTTTCACTCGTCGATTTTTTTTATTTAAAAAATTTTTCTGCGGCTTCATTTGGTGAAAGAGTTGAGTATATCTGGGGTTCAAACACTGCAGTAAGTGTATTGACAGCAAACTGTTGTTTGTTGTGGTTTAGAAACGCTCGAGTCACCATAGTAACGTTTTTACGAATAATTCTAATGACGATTCGATAAAATTCTCCGACTGTTCTTTTCGCCTGGAGTTCAGTCTCGAAAATTTCTCGAATTACGTGATTGTTGAACGCTCGTAGGAAGCAGTGAAATTGTGACAGTTTCATCGATCGATAATTGACGAAATAGGAGAGGAGAAAGTTGAAGGAGTGAGAGTAGAAATTTCGGATTATGGGGAACGAAGACAGTGGCTGGGTGTTCGACTCCCTCGTGGGGTTCCTCAAAGGGCCCATCTGGTCGTCCCCACTGCTGACGTTCGTCGAGGAGAGATCAATCAGTACGTGCAATTCCAATAAACCAATTAATTAATTCCTCCAGGAATGAATCTCGTTCGATAATCCAGGCATCAGGGAATTACCAACTCTATTAATTTGGGATTATCTCGTCAATGAGCGGTCTGAGGCGAAAATGTCACAGGACATTTTTTGTGGAGAATTAAAATTCGCGCAACAAAGGTCTTATGCCGATTTCTCGTCAGACCCCTCGTTGCTGAGATAATCGAGGAATTGTAAGTGGAAAAAAAAAATTCCAGTTTTCGAGCCTGAAATGGAGGACAACAAGGAGTACTTCGAGGCTTACCAAGAATATAAGAACTTGGTGGATCTTCTGTTGGGTTCTTACATGGAGGATATGGGAATAACGCCCGAACAATTCGAGCATGCTTGCACTGTAAACAAACAGACGAAAATACCAGTGCAGTTTCAACAGGTATTCCCCATTAATTTCCATCTAAAAATTTCATCTTCATTAGAAAAGAATTTAATAACCATTAATAATTGATAATTATCCCGAACGTTGTCTCCTCATGTTCATCCAGAGCCTGTTCGAACAAATTTGGGCTGCGAACGAGTACCTGGTCTTCAAGCGAATGATGATACAAAAAAATTTGGAACTCCAGTTGCAAGCTCTCAGCATGATTGAACAGAAATTCGGACTGACTCCAGCCTCACTGACCCGTGGACCAGACGCGCATTTTCCTCAGGAGGAATTAGTGATGGACGAATTACTCAGGTGATTATTTCTCTCGTCATTCGAGCAAATCGAATAAGACGATTTCATTTTCCTCGGAAGATTAAATTTTTATTATTTTTAAATGCCGTCCATTGACCCCAATTGAAACACAATTTATTGTAGATTTTCTGGGCATTTATGTCTAAAAAAATTGGTTTTTAACGATTAAATCATGTTCCAAAAAATCCAATCATTGCAATCAATTGAATCAATTAACCGATTAAAAGTCGCTTACAAGATGATGTAAAGGGCTATTATCAGTTGTAAAAATCATAATTAAGCGCTGATTTTTAATTCCGCGCAGTAAGCAATCGCAGGAGGAAGACCCGACAGAGGAGACCGAGGAGGACCTCAAGAAGGAGCACGAGAGGTTGGCCAACAAGTACGAGAGTGAGAAGGCGGCGTTGCAGGAAGCCCTAAATATCTCGACGAATTCATTACTTTCATTTGCTGGGGGAAAAGAGCCTTCGGAGGATTGCCAAGCGACTGGGGACCCCTGGGACGGCGATTTAATACCCGAGCTGTTGAAGAGACCTTCACCTCTGCCTTCAATCTCCAATCTACGAGAGATTGATGAGGGGAGAGATGGAGGGGAAGCCCCACAAATCGTTGAAAAAAATCCTGTAATAATTCTTGATTTGGGAAAATTCAAGAAATCTTTTGCTGAAGTCATTCATTCATTCATTCATTTATTCATTCATTCATTTTTTTTATCCCACAAAATTTTTTTTTGAAAGAAATTAAATTCTCGTAATTATGATTTAATTGGAATTAATTTTGTTAAATGGTCTTGAGAGTCAAAAGGCACTTAAAAATATTTGGAGTCGAGGGATAAATGGTCTTAAGGGTCAATTGGAGAAAAAAAACAGTTTCTTCGTTTCACAGAGAATTAAATTAAAGACTTTCTCATCCATTAAATTTTCTCATCCATTCCAAACTTTCCCCAACACTCATCAATGATATTTCTAGATGCAGATGGAACCGGAGAATCAGGAAGAAATGAGGAAAAGAGAGGAGTATCTCAAGGAGAGAAGAGACCAATTGGTAGCACTGAAGAAGCAGGCGCGCTGTCAGTACTTGGAAACAGTCAAGAGACGTCCAAGTACAGCGAGAAATGTTGCTGAGGCCAGGATGAAGGGGGAGTCGAACCTTGAGAACACTCCAGCACCGGATCCATCGATTATTCAAGTGCGTAAGGCACTCGCTGCTCGACTAAAAGCCGAAGTGGTCGATCCATAACAACTTCACATCATCGATTGCCCAAGGGATTTTTACTTCATTGATGTTTAATTATTTTAATGAGGATTATTCATTGAGAAGGGGAATTGATTGGCTTGCGTAGTGAATTCGTAGGGGATGAAGAAGTTGCTATTGAATAGAATGTTGTATTTATTGTTCAATTAATTAAATTATCGTAGAGCATTTTTGTTAGAATGAATTTAAAGGTGATTGATTAGAATTTTTCCTGTTAATTGTCTCATTACCTCGATAATGAGTGGCTTTATGGCAAAATGTGATAAAATATTTTGTTTAGGGAAGCAAATTTCCTGCAAAAAAAGTCTTCTCACGTTTTTTCGTAAATTCACTCGTTCACCAGATAAATTCACGCGAATAAGAGCTCTCGCTCTACTATTTAACGACAGAATAACAGATTTCAAGTGCTAAACCGAGCGAAATAGGGGGGAAAACCGAAGTGCTCCATGACAAATGATTTTTAAAAATTATTTTATATAATTTGTGACGCAACACCGAGGTCAGACCGTGAGAAATGCAGGAATGACGTCAGTGGCGAGAAATTTACACAAAATTATCTTTATTGATACTTGCATTACTCCCAAGTTTCGAGAATGTTCGAGTCATCGAAAACATTCGAGGAAGTCATCACGTAATAGTGAAACAGATTACTCACGCCGCAATGCTTTGAGGACCAATGTGTTTTTATTTACTCTGTAGAAATCGGAATAAAGATCACTTTTTAACTCGAAAAATGTCTTGCATTCAGTGAATTCGAAAACCTGTTATTAGCAGTGGCCATTTAAATTCATCGATGCTAATGGGTTTGGAGGGCATTATCAGAAGATTTTCTTCGAAGATAGTGGAATTCTATGGAAGAAGTCTTTCGATGTTTTTTAAAATCACTTTCATTATCTCGTTACCGAGATAATTATAATCAACAAAATTTAGTGTTCATTAACTGGTGATTATCTCGTAAACGACTTATCCTAGAGGGAAACTTCATACCACATTTTTTGTAGGGAATGTCATGGTCTTCAAAAAAGTTATTATGCAATTTTTCTCTAAACCCACTGGTTTTCGAGATATTCTTGAAATAATCGGTGCGAATTTTTCGCAAAATGCTCTCGATTATATTTATTCAACACTTCGAGTGCAAATTCTTGGAAATCATGTCCTCATGAGGTTTTCTCCCGTATTCCCCAATTTGAAGGGATAATTCCGGACCTTTAGAACGAAAATATCATCTCATGATGAATTGATTAATTACTCCATGTGAAGTTGTTTAGCGTGATGGCATGAGGAAGTGGCATTTCAAATTTGATTCTTCGCTCATGGTCAAAGAGCGGAGATGGAATTTATGTATGTACACATCGAGGACGTTTTATGAAAGTGAATTTTATCACTGGAAGTATCGAAGATTATTCCTGCTTTGTAATAAATTGTTAACAGATAGGAATGTTTTTAATTAATTCACTCATTCGCCTTTTCAACGACAAATAAACGAGACTTCGCTGTTGAATCGAAGATTTCATTATCAGACGTGCATAAAATGCGAAAAGAATTGAGAAAAAAACTTCAGACGTGAGGATGTCACTTTTCTTTCTTCGTTTAAGTATTGAATAAAAAAATCAAATCCCAGGCAAAACAAAATTCTGTAGTTTGAATTACTAAAAAAGGATGATTTTCCCCGAGGAAATTTCAATCATTAATACTACTATTTTTATTGATAAAATAATTAGCGAAGGGCTGAAACAGTTCAACTCGATTTTGACAACTGTTCGGTTTTCCCTGAATATCTCGGAATCTAAGAGAGATATCAAAATGATTGTCATAACATCTTTTCTAGAGCGAACTGAGCCCTACAAAAAAGGTAATAACAAAAATTTAGCCATCTCCCTTAGTTTCGGAGATATCCCCATTCTAATGGAGCCTCCCCTAAAAAATATCAAAAAAGTGTTCGATTTCCCTAAAAAAAAATTAGTAAACTAAAAAATAATTAGGTGTTCTCATCCTCGATCCTGTCCTCCACATCGATTCCTCGATCTCCAATGAAACTACCTCCTTCCCCCCCACCCAAGCCCTCAATTTTAGACTGTCACAAGGTTGCCAAGTCTGGCAATGAGACAGCAGGCATCACAGCAGCGTTGTTTCCCCCCCGATTCCATTCTCTCTCTCCGCCACTCCACCTCCTGTTGTCTCCTCGCGCCTTCAGTGCTCCCAGCTCCCTCCGAACGCACATTGCGTTCGCAAAATAAATCCCATTCACCAATTCCTCGGGTGAAATGCGCTCATTTCCAACAGAATAAATCCCAAAAACACCAACAATCAACAGTAAAACCATCCCCAGTGCAATAACAAATAAATAAATTAACAAAACCTGTAACATGTGCCCGAAGTGTGATATCTGGAGCCACGTAAACGCTTATCTCAGATCGTACCGTATTTTTACGAATGGCTACCGTTAATTATAATAAAACGAGTTGATCAGCGAGTGCATTGATGATCCGGGGAGTAGCGAGTCATCAGGAATGAGTGGCAAACCGATGGCCCTTGCTAACCGCCAAGTCTCCTAGCACGAAAAATCGTCGTACCAGAGGATAAAAAGGAGTGAATTAAATTCGGAAGTTGAATAATTGACTGGTGGAATGATAATTGTGGGGTCATTGTCGTGTGGATCAATCACTCGTGGGGGATTTGTATTGCTCGGTGATGAGATGAGGATTTCTTGAGGGAGAGGAAAAATTAATACTGCACAGGTGTGAGAAATTCTTTGGGCTCCAGTGAATTTTGCAAATTTCGGGGCTGGGGAGGGGATAGACGCCGAGACACGTTGGGATGCCGTCGACCTGAGGAATTTAGATATTGAAGAAGGGGAAGGTTTGGGACTGGAGGGTTTTGAGGGGTCTTTTGGGGGATCGAGGGGCGACATGAGTGCCAGCAGGGGGCAGGGAACTGGGGGGAGCTGCGAGACTCTCGTCAGCAAGTGCGAGATACCCATCATCGATCTTGCACACATGGGTGAGTCGATTTGGTTCAGAAGGTCGTTGATCTTTTTTTGTGGATTTAGGGGCGAAGCGAAGCCATTAATATCTCGGAATCTGAGGGAGATGGCGATATTTTTGTCGGGACCTTTTTTGAAGGGCGAAGGGAGGGGCACAAAAAAGGTCCTGATGACAATTTCGGTATCTCTCTTGGATTCGGAGATATTGCTGAAAAACTCGGATACTGAATTTTTAGGGGGGGTTCTGGGGAATGACGTCCACGTACATTTTACATTTTTACATTTTTAATAGTCTTGTATATTTTAATATCCAGCTAGCAAAAACTTTCAAAAGATATTAAAATATTGACAAATATTCAAATCCACTTTTACTTTGACTAATTACGTTCAGTCTCTCAATCTCAACTATTTACATTGAGATCTTTGAAGCGGAAAAAAAAACAGAGGATTATTGAAGTGCTCGTAAAAATGTGGAATGAAAAGAAAAACAAAGTACAGTTAAAAGAGCTAGTAAAATAAGGAAAATCAAGTGTTCACTTTAATAAATGGGTCCGTTTTACCCAAATTCTCCTTGATACATCTTAGATTAACGTTTATCAACAGATGCTTAATCTGAAGAGTTGGATGTTATCAATATTTGCATGAAACAAACGCGATTTTTCAAGGAAAAATAAAAATCCTGGGGTAAGGAATTTTGAGACACAAAAATTGTCGTTTGGGTGAGATATTCGGGGAATGAGATGGACTGGAGAGTTATGAGTCGGGTTTTTGGAGCATGAGGGATTATTTTGGGAGTGAGTGGGTCTAGGAGAAAGTGGCGAGAGTTTTTTTAAGGATTATTATACGATCTATTCTAAATTGTATAAAAATCGTCTCTTGATAGTTTTCGAAAAATTTATTTTGAAGATAAATTCTTGACAAAAAAAAATCGTCTTTTGAATTTCACAATCTCCAAAAGAAAACGTCCTGACATTTCCATAATTTAAATTAGATTGTGAAAACAAAAATGGATTAATACTTGTTGACTGCATAATTATTTTAACAATAAATTATTTCCGGGAAAAATGTCACAAAACATTTTTTGTAGCCAATGAAATTCTCCGCAAAAAATATTTTCTGCCATTTCCCCCTGAAATCACTCAGCACGGAGATAATGCAATAGCGGCTCAAACACTTTCACCGCTTCACTCCTCAATTTCTTTGTTTTGTGGAGGGAGTGGGAGTGTTATTATTGGGAGTAGGTCAGTGTTGCTATGTGGATCCAGTTATTTTGGTTTTCCAATTTGTTAAAATACGAAATTAACGCATTGCATTTCTCTAAAATCCTCCAAACCCTCCGAAATGTTGAATTAATTTCTGTGGATTCTAATTTCCACTTCCCAGAATTGATAAAATGGTCTCTGATTTGAATCTAATGGACACCGGAAATTAGTCAACATAAGTAGGCGATTTACAACTAATTGTTATGTACACTGAGGCCTCGAACGTGATTAAAATCTCTCGATTTACGACAAAGGAGTGGAAATATCTCGTCACAATAACAAAAACCCTAATCAAGTGGCGATTTCGCTTGAACTAACAGATTTGAGAGAAAATGTCAGATGAATTTTCGTACAGAATTAAATTCCCTACGAAAATTCACCTGACATGTTTCAATGAAATGTCAATGCAATGTCAAATGGTCAAACCCCAGTGGACTTTAAAATCCCAATGATTGAAACGAGTCCACTCCACTGACACAGGAAATGATTCAGCAGATATGGGTCCATTGGATCTAATTACTCCCCATGAAGACTCAATTGGACCACTGAAAATTCTGATATTAATCCAATCAATTTCCCCTCAATCTCAATTGCTCCTCCATCGATTCCCCCAGCATTTCATCAATTTCTTCATGGGTTAAAATTGATTGACATGTTGAATTGATATGAAGGATGATTTGCGACTGTTTTGGGCATTAGTTCGGGCTATTCCCTTCGCTATTCCCTTTAATTCACCATTCAGAGACAAAAAGAAAAGCGTATAGTTCCCAAAATGTTCTAATTGCTCTTGACTTTTGTTCTTAGGGACCGAAAGATGTCCTCAGAAGGGAGTAGTAAAGCAAGTGGCTGCAAAATTGGTGAAGGCCCTATCTGAAAAAGGACTTGCACTGCTCGTGAATCATGGAATACCAGACTGCAAGGTACAATTAGCTCAGTAATTACGTAATTGCAAAAGGAATGGTTTTGCAAACTGAATGGCTTCAGCATTTCAACGCAGTTCTATTCATTCTTCATTCCTCTACCTAAATAACTGATAACCATGCTATTCCGTGACTAATGTTCCCATTCATTTAGCAATTGCATGAAAAATAAGCACAGATAACAGAATTTTCCATTGTTCAGGGAATTCTTTTGCGCCATTTCGTGGAGGGAGTATTCAATGCCAGATTATCCTGATTAACACTATTTCATGATTAGTCGGGGCTAATTGATGATTTCATACCTGTGGAATTACCAGAGGTGTTGGGTATTACGCATCAGATTTATTCAACAAAGGGGGAAATTAATTGTTAAATTATTTTCTGAGAAGTCATCTAGTATTGATATGCTGTTAATCGACGTAAACTCATTAAATTTGACGAATTGCGCATTGATTATTGTTCAAGATGAAGGCTGTGTACAGATCTTTGGACAGATTTTGTGAATTACCAAAGGAGTCGCGTGAGAAGTATGAGTTTATATCGCCCTGCAGTCACGGATATAAAAAACCAGAAACTGATCAGTGAGTAATGCACATCTGGACTCTGACTTTTAGCATAATCTCTCTTTACTGTGATCCCCAAGACATTTTCAAGTTGCAATAAACCTCCACAAGCGTGAATTTTCATTATTCCCCGAAGACATTCAGCAGACAAAGACATTCATAAAAAATTTATTGAGAAACATCTTTTGATATTTTTTCGCAGGAAATTACATTCTCCACAAAAAAAGCCTTGATATTTCCCCTCAACCCGATATTTACCGTGATAATAACCAATTCATTCTGATAAAAAACATCTCATGTTTTTCCTCCAGAAATTTATGTCTCCTTTCCTCATAACTTCCTGCTTGATGAATCATTAAAAATCTTATCTCACAAAATATCAATCCGCACATGCAGATACAGCGTGACTGAAAAAGAGGCGAGACACGAATACATCATCAGTGGTGGTGACAATAACGTTATGCCAGACGACGATGTCCCCGATTTTCGATCGGCCGTTGACGAGCTCGCCAGGGACATGAAACAGCTCTCGACAATGTTACTCACCGTATGTCATCAAATTAGATAAAAAAAAAAAGAAAAGAAAAAAGAACAGAAACAGAACAGAAACAATTTTTTTTTTAAATCGAATGCACAGGCTCTCGCATTTGGCTTGGAGCAGCCTGGAGACTTTTTCCTGAGTAAACACTCGCATATTTTGGAGGATGGAAATGATTCCACCATGAGAATCATTTATTATCCACCCTCGGCTGTATCGGAGTCAGGGACAATGCGTTATGGACCTAGATGTGACTGTGGAACTTTCACACTGATTGCTCAGGTAATTCGAAAATTATTTTTCCTCGGCATTTTTTTATTGCTTGAGGATATCCAAGTATATTTTACAGTTTGCACAGGATTATTATTTTTTTAAGTTTTCGTTGTCTATAAAATTGTGAATATGAATAATTTTTCTTTGGAAAATTAATCGTTTATAAATGCTTTATAGAGAATGCTCGTAATTTTCAAAATTTTCAATTTGCGAATTATTTTATTAATTCTCTAAAATAAACTTTCTAATTTTTTCAGATTTTTAAAATGTTTTCTAACGATTGGATATCGACATTCAATTTCAGACCTGCAAAGTTTAAATAATGAAATTATTTACTTAGACTACTTGGATATCCTTAATATGAAAACTGCACGAAAAATATTGGAGCGACATTCTTGTAATTTTGAAGATTATAATATAAGACTCTCGATTATAAAACTTTCCCCATCATAAAACAATTCCCATCACAAATTGTTCATTCTTCATTTCATCAGGATGAATTAATCACACAAAAAATGAGTAAATAAATAAATTAACGAATGACTAAACTAATTAACCCCATCTCTCTCTCAGGATTGCGAGGGTGGCCTCGAGATTCAGTCTCCCAACGGCGAGAGATGGGGCAGAGTGGGTCACTTACCCGGCGCAATTTTCGTGACCACTGGAGACAGCCTAGCCAGTTGGACGAAGCAGCAGTTACCCTCCCTGAAGCATCGCGTAGTGGTGCCAGAGCATTGTGGCCGTGGTCGTCACTCCATAGGGTTCTTCGTTCACCCCGACGATAACGTTATCATCGAGCCATGCGACACGCAGATATCAATTCCATCCCAAGAACCAGCCATTTGTCGTTTGGTGAAGAAAAAACGAGGTGTTCTCACAGCATATCATCACCTCCAGCGTCGCTTTCGTGAAACTTATGCCTCTTGAAGTTTTATCCAAGTATTACGGGGCACAATGGGTGGCCTTATGAGTGGCCATTTTCTTATGGTAATAGTAAAGAGATTTTTTTTTTCCAAGTAAAGGGAGAAAAATTCACTCGAGTGAATTGTTTTTGTGATCACTGAAGAAGAGAAGTATGACTAATTCCCAGGAGCGTGGGGATTTATTGATTGATTTTTAGTTATTTCGGGGGGAGGAACTTATGCATCTGATGGTAGATCTTGGTCAATTGTAATAAAAGGGTTATAATTGATTTTAAATTGATAATTAAGGGAGGGAGAACGTGGAAAAGGCGTGGGAAGTTTTTCGGGGATAATTCTTGAATTATTGAACAAAGATAATTGAGTTATTAACGAAAAATTTGTTGAATCTATTTCAAAGAAAATTTTTCTGCTAATCGCGTAATTATCTCGTTGATAATTAACGAATTACTCCCCACGAAATCTTTCGACTTAATAAAAACGAGTTGACAATAATTATCATTAATGAGTGATTGAATTTTGATAGAGCGAAATGTCCTCGGTCTATTTTCTTAATAAGACGTGACTTACATGTACGAAACGACATGAGCCCTCAGTGGAATAATAAATCAATTTGTACTTAACTTAAAACTGAAAATATTTCCTTGATTTTTCCTGTAATTTTTTGCATAACAGGCAGTGAGGGAATTGTTATTAAAAACCTGGGTCCCAGTGAGTGACAGAAGGTACTTCATAATGCTTGAAGCAGACTATTGTGTCTCCTGGTTGGACAGTGACTGCTGGATCCTCAAACCTCAGGCCACACTCGACCCCTGACTTCACTGTGTCGACTTCGGTTTTGAGGTGCCTCATTGATGCTAATTTACCTGGGAAAATGATCATGTCTGAGCTCAAATTGAAAATTCCTCACGATCGATCAATGCATCGATTACTTAATGGATTTATCAATCAATCTTTCGAAACAATGACGTTGGAATGTGATTTAAAAATGATTTACCTTCGTAAATATTTTCATTTTGACGTATAATTCTGTACATTCCATTCTTCGTGAGCATTCCATCAGTGCAACGACAGCCAGCGACATTGACCGGTTTTCTCTTCTCGTTTATCTCGAATTGTTGAAGAACATTGGCTTTCCCTGAAGAAGGGAAAGAGAATTAATTTTTGCATAAAAAATTTCGATGGCTAATGAGTGATTAAGAATACCGAGTGTCTCCTCCTTTATCTGAGGCGGTAGTTTCTTCTCAATTTCCTTCTTGACATCATCAATGAGTTTGTATATAATTTTATGCGGACGAACTGAGACCCCCATTTTCCCGGCAAACTCCTGAATTTTCCTGGGTGTATTCACGTTGAAAGTGTAAATAAGCGCTGTAAAATGACGATAGTCAACAAGACGTCACTTGAAAAACATGAAACACTACTTGAAACTGTTGTAAAAACAAAATTCGCCAATTACCATCGAATGCTTCTGCGAGTTCCACATCACTCTCGGCCACAGCACCGATTCCATAATGAATGACATCGAGATGGCATCGTTTATTGTCTGAATAAGCCTCGAAGACATCGAGAATGGCTTCAGCAGAGCCGAGAACATCTGATTTTATTATCACATTGACCCTGGGAATTCCATCGTCATCATCTGTCTCCTTCTTCCTGGGGCCTTTTGTTTTGTTTCTCCTGCCTGAGGCCCTTCGTGCCGCCAATTCTTCCTTGTAAACCTGAAGATGACAATTTTTCATGAGAATTGTAATCTAAAAAACTATTTTCTCATTCATTTAGGAGAATGAAGAAATTCCTTCATGAGGTTCTGAAATATTTTTGTTAATTTTTACTTGATCATGCGCCTCTCGCCGTTTCTCCACAATCTCGAGGGCATCCAGTGCCTTAGCCTTCGCCTGCTGCGCCTGTCGATGTTTGAGAACAACATGCGCTCGGTGTTCATCCTCGACTTCTAGGATTTCATCCCCAGCGAATGGCAGTTCCCTCCAGCCGATTATTTGAACTGCTTCGGAGAGTTTGGCCTCTGGTACTGGGGTTCCAGCATGATCGAACATCGCTCGTACCTTCGCCCATGCAACTCCACTCACTGAAATTAATTCAAATATGTTTATTCATGAACTATAAAAAAATGTGCCAGCAATAAAAAATGTAATGGAGAACCCCAATTGCATTAGTTACGAATAATCACCTAAAACAGCTCCTTTCCTGAGTGTTCCTCGTTGGATCAGGACAGTGGCAAGCTTTCCCCTCCCCACCTGAGTGGAAACCTCGAGAACCACACCCTCGACCAGGCCCTTGGGGTCCCCCTTCAGATCCATGACCTCAGCCAGTGCTGCAATAGTCTCAATCAACTCCTTGAGATTAGTCCCTTTGAGGGCAGAAATATTGACAGAAGGAATTTCTCCCCCCTGTGACTCCAACTGAATCCCCTGCTCAGCCAACATCTTCTCGGTTCTTTCCTGCATTAATATTAGAAATGAATAACTCATTTTTTCCCAAAAATTTTGGTGAGATAAAACGAATCCTTTTTTTTTTAAGTGTCCATTTTATTTGATTCTTCAGACTTCAAAGATAATATTGGAGGGCATCAATATTTTCTTGTAACTAACGGCGTAAAAATTTCAAGAGAATTTATTTTGAATTATTATCATTAAATTGAATAAATCTCAAAATAACTTAATCAACACAAATGTGCCAAAATACGTCAAAATACCCCCAAATAAATAAACCAACAAAACGTTACCTACAATATCTGCCTCTGGCTTATCGATCTTATTAACAGCAACGATAATGGGCACAGCAGCTTCCCTGGCCATCCTGATGCTCTGAACAGTCTGCTCCATGACCCCATCGTCAGCAGCGACCACCAGCACAACGATATCAGTGACATTGGCCCCCCTGGCCCTCATGGAGCTGAAGGCAGCATGTCCAGGGGTGTCCAGGAAGGTGATTCTCTCCCCAGAGTCCAAATTCACGTTGAAGGCCCCGATGTGCTGGGTGATGCCCCCGAACTCCGAGTCCACCACTGACGTGTGTCTCAGGGTGTCCAGCAGAGTCGTCTTGCCATGGTCCACGTGCCCCATCACAGTCACCACTGGGTGTCGTTTAACCAGCTGCGAGGGATCAGCTGGGGGACGTCTCACTGCGTCGTTCACCTTCTCGTCTTTGACCTCTTCACTCCTAGGGGCTGGCACGAGCTTGTACCTCAACCCCAGGCGCCTCACAGCCTCGAAGATCACTTGGTGGTCCTCGATCACTGTGGAGGCAGTGTAGCGACTGCTCTCTGCGTAAGAGATTGCTGTCAAGACGTCCTTAATCGAACGATTGGAGACTGTAGAGAGGTCCTGGACTGTCATTCTCTTCCACACCTCCAGCACTGGAGACTTCACCATGGGCTTCTGGTTGTAGACATAATCACTGATGGCTTCCTGGAATATTTTGCAATCATCACCTATTTTTTCTGAATACATGAATAAGTCGCAATTCATTCATTTATTCGTGTACTCAATAATAAGGTGATTAAGTTCATCTGGTGCTTGATCAGATCTGAATATAAATATGTAAATAATTGTCTCTGCATTAATTTAATAAATTCATTTATTTTTTAAATTAATTAATACATTAAATAAATTAATTAAATGAATGCATTTAATTATTATGTTATTTTCTTTGAAAATGAAGGAAATAAAAATATTGAGAAAATTCGAGTGATTTTCTTTGGGTTTTCTCACCTTTTCTAATCGAGCTTTTGACTTTTTTCTGCGAATTGGAGTTGTGTGATAACACTGGCAGTTCATCACTGCATTCAAACCTAATAGTTTCCATTGGAGTTGATGGGAATTGATACTAATGACTGTGTTTATCAAAGGCGATGAGAATCTGAAATAAAAAGTAATCAACGGATTTATCGAGGAATTTTTATTTATAAAAATCTGGATTGGTGTCAAATGGGGAATAGTATTCTACATCGTCTCTTTTTGTTAATAAATATCAGTTAAAAAGTTGGATTTGGATATAACAATACTCAGAAAGAGGTTATGATCAACCGAATGAAAATTGATTGATTCCCCATTGGCGATATCAATTCCATTGATTTTCAAATTGTTAATGAATTGGTAGCAGTCGTAAGGTGCAAGGAAATAACACTGACAGGTGATAATTAATTAATAAACGAGTAATTACCGTTTGGCCACTGTACACGTCCGGCCTAATAGCGCGGCCATGATGAAACACAAGTGGAATTTTTCGCGCGACATTTAAAAAAGGAAATTCTGCGCTTTCCTCGTTCATCGCACTTTGAAGTCTTTATTGAACAGTCTCAACAATGCTGCGATCGTTTTTCTTAGTTTTAACACAAAATATGAAAGTATGAAACGTAAAATTATAATGTTTAACGATTTTTGGAACTCGTTGCACCAGCGACGAAGAACTCTCTAATATCTAATTAGTTTTTCAGAGTTGTCATCATTTTAACTTAATAATACTCAAGTATTTTAACCCTCAAGTAATTAAATATGGGTTTTGTGGCTCATAATGAATTTTCTTTTGCTTTGGAATTTTATGTCAAGAAATTTCCTAGAAATTTGTTGATCACCTTTTTAAAAAAAATAAAATAATAGCTCCAGAGTCTGGAAACCTATCCTCCAGCCCACTTCTACCAGAAAAATGAAAAAAACTAAAATGCCCTTGGCAAAACCCAAACAAAAAACTATAACTTAAAGAAAATAGAGGAGATCCTGGAGTCGACGATCAGGAGGTGCGTGGATGTTCTGAGCAACCAGGAACACGAGTTTGTGGGCGTACTGGAGAGGTGCAGGGCCTCTGACAGTATTGCTGCAGTTGAAGTAGACATGCGTCAACTTGTAGGTGAGGATCTGAATCCTCTCGAGGGACAGGCGAACAGAGTCAAAGATGATGTTGTAGTAAGTGGGCATGACAGTGTCGTCCTTGAAGTGTTGAGACACCAGGAAGAAGTCCTTCCTGAGGGGCTGGGTGATGATGTCCTCGACGACAGTCCCCAGGGGTGGGTTATCGACGCCATGGAAGAGTCTCGTATTGGAGTGGGTCGAAACGAGGATGTAGGCGAGGCTCACTGGGGCATCTCCGTATATCCTTTGAAGGGCATTGTGGACACGTGACACCTCGTGGTCCGTTATGTTGACGATCTGGCCGGTTGGCACTGAGTCCCGATACAGGAGGATTCGAGAGGGAAGGGAGCCACCGTTCACTTCACGAAACTTTTCCAGAGCCTTTGAGAGACTCGAGATTATGTTGAATGTCAACTGGTCGTTCCTCTCGTGGGACGATACTGCTGAGAAGTAGCGGGTGAGGCCTTTATCAAGAGTGGCCACTACAGCAGCTGGAGACATTAATTAATTTTTTCGTTGATTAATAATTGATGATGGAGAAATTTCAAATTTGGTCTTTGTTTTTCGGGATTATCTCGCCAGGGAGTGGTTTTAAGAAGAAATGCCACTGAACATTTTCTGCGGGAAATTAAATTTTCGACAAAAAATGTTCAGTGACATTTTGACGTAAACCGGCTCATTACCGAGATAATTAATAATTAATGAACAAAATAATACCAAAACTCCTATTAGATTCCTCACTGTCACGACCAATGCTGACTCCAATGACCATAAGTCCACTCAGAGGAATGTGAATGCTCCAGGGCACTCCCCCAATCTTGCAGCTGAGTTGAATGGCAACCTTCGTTGCTATTCCCTCGAGATCCTCCGAAGTGAAGCACTTATCAGTGATGACTTGGCAGGGGACTGCATTCTCCAAGTAGCACTTCTTCATGACTCGAGTGAAGATCTCAGGTCGACGGCCCTGAACAACAATCATCAGCAGTTGTGGATCTAGATCCGTTATCGATTTCTCAAGGTGTGAAGAGTAGCACTCGGGGGTGGACTCCTCCAGCTCCACATAACAAGGCTCTGAGAGGTGGAAGTTTCGAGTGGATTTCATCATTTTTTCAACGAAACTCTGCAGAGAAAATCATTGTCTAAATTAAATTAATTCGATTTGACATTTTCGTTAATAAATATTTGACATTTTCGTTCAGTGATTAAGAGAGCAAATAAATTCATAAAAAGAATAAGCAAGAACTAATGAGAAATAAATAACGATTTTTTCTCAATTCAACTCACTCTGGCTTCGAAGGCATAAGCCTCTGGTGTGACGACGACCCAATTCTCCAGTTTCACAGTCTGAAAAAGGTTCTTCTCCTTGAATGCGAGAGCCCACTCCCCCTCGCAGCCGACGTCCACCAGGCACTCGTCCCCAAAGATCAACTTCTCACGAGGGAGAATTTTCCCAGCCACGTCAAGCAGCTGCGAATCCAACTTCATATTCGAATTCTGCAGTTCCTCCTGAAGACTTGGATTGCTCATCAGACGATGATTGAACGCCATGAGCTTCTTCACTCGACTCTCAGGCCCCACAACCGTATGAGCTGACAGCAAGTCCTTGACAATAGCATCGTTTTTCAACGTTGCAGTCAATCCTGCAACAGCACACAGCTCAGGAACCAGATAAATCTTCTCCGCAGGCTCTCGACGATTTCTCGGTCTGTAGTTAGTCACCAGCAGGGGCTGCGAGCTGTGATAAATGTTGATCCCATGATGAATCTTGTAAAACTCTTTGTAAGTTATATCCAACTCGCCGTCTGCAGTCTTGATGTTGGAAAGTGGAGACATGGAGAAGTCAACGCCATCGATTCGATGAATCTTGTTCTCGTACTCTGCCCAGACCTGGAGGCCAATCACTTCGGCACTGAATGCTGCCTGATAATCAGGCCCAGACATCTCCATTATCTGTTGAAGATGTTTTTCATCTCAATTAATTTTTCTTCCAAATAGAAATTATAGGATCATCTTAATAAATTTCTCTTCGAAAATGGAAATTATAATGGAGGATTGAAATTATAATTTTTGTTTTTGACGTGGAAACGTCTATGTTTTGGTTTCGCTGTGGAGCATTTTGTGCATCGTACAGTATTCAGTGGCGCCATCTGTTGGCGTATAAGAGAACTAAGTCAGGGACCTACTTTAACAACTGATCGCGGGATCTACTTTACCGACTGAGCGAGGGGTCTACTTTACCGGCTTCCGTTAAAGCGTGAGATCGGGATTGAATGACGTTTATAGTACGTTTCACGTGGTGATGAATGGCGCAGAGATACATGTAATACAAGTACTTTGTATACGTAATTTGAATGTGGAATTACTTCATTATGTATCATATTTCTCCTATCATCGACCTAACGTCGTTCTTGAGCTGAGCTCAATGAACTCAGCTTAAAACATTAATTCATATTGCTATTATAATTTGGCGAGTCGCTACGTAACATAGACGTATCCACGTAAAAAATAACGATTGTATCAGGGATACAACCGCCCAGGGATTTTTTCGCGATTATCTCGGAAACTATGAGAGATAGAGCCTTAAAACCTATTCCATTCGATTCCTGAGGAAATTTGGGTTCCGTATAGTTAGATGGACGGCGCAGAATTGCGTTTTTCCACTTCCTAC